AATTTTCTCCTCTTTTCCTTTCACAGAAATTTTCTTATCTATTGTCTTTGCCATCATCAGCATCTTTGCCTTGTCATTCTCCATTTTCTGGAGCTTAAGAGCACCCAAAATAAGAAGTTTTAAAATCGAGGCCAGGAAAGAGTAAATGCAGCATGGCCGCGACATGAATAGAGACCTCGTCAAATATATATATATATATATATATACATATATTTTACTTTTGAATGTAACGAATACTCCCTCCGTCCAGTTAGAAAGTATACACATTTTTATTTTGGGACGTTCAATTACAAAGTAAACATTTTATTAAATACCTCACTTTTTTCCGCAAATACCTTTACTTTACATCACATCATTATTTTTATACCAAAAAGCAAAGACAAAAATGTCATTACACTGCTTTTAAATACCTACTATAATTAAAATACTATTATTTCTTAAACACTGCGCCAAAAATAAATGTATACTTTATCTGTGGACGGAGGGAGTAGTAACTAACAGAAACCTAAGGCGGCATCCTCAGGAATCTATACTTATGCACTTCAATCTATAAGTAAGTTCTTAACAACGGAAGGAACAATTTAAATAAAGAACAAAAAAAATCTTTACAAGGAAAAGCAATGCTTGTTTGTGGGTTTGATTTTTGGGTTTAGATGTTTTTTAATAGTAAAAGTTTGTTTGATGTGATATAAATAGACGTTGATGTAATTAATTGGTAAGTATAATATATATATATATATAAATTACTCTCTCCGTCCCAAAATAATAGTTTCATTTTGCTATTTTCATAATCTCCAAACAATAATCTCATTTCTATTTTTGGTAACTATTTTTCTACTTTTTTATAAAATTATTTCCATTTTTTTACAATAATTAGATAAAATAGGAGTATTTTGATATTTTGGAAATATCTTTACATCTACTATCAATATAATAATATTATTCATTAATTCTCATACTCATCCAAAATGTTCTTATTATTTTGAATCGCATAAAATATTTAATTTGATATTTTAATATAAAAAAAAAAAGAAAAAAAATGAAAAATAATAATCCTGCGAGAAATCTAAAAAACAAAAAACAAAGCCAATGATTTCAAAATCAAGAAATAAATTTTAGAAATATGTTAAAGAATCATAGCACGAGTCCCAGTCAGTTTATATGAGCAAAGGTTATTTACTACCCCTTTATATAATAGTCCTATTTATTATTTTTTTTCTATTCCAAAACAATAGTCTTATTTTCATAAATAATTATATCACCATAAAAGTAACATTACTTTTTACACTAATACACTCGCAAGGGCAAAAACGTTTTTTATCTATACTTTTTACCAACTACCAAAATAAGAGTAAAATATATATTTCTCTCTCCATCGCATCACCTAATTTCTAAATTATCCTACTTAATACTACCCACTTAAAAATCCGTGTCAAAAGCAAATGTTACACCTTATTTAGAACGGAGGAAGCATCAATATTTCTTAAAATCTCGTGCCCAACTCAATTAAAATTATAATTGTGAGACGGAGATAATACAAATCTTGATTCAAGAGAAGACTACCTAAGATACTAATTTAAGTTTCAAATCATGCAGACCTTAATCGATTCGATCAAGGCCTCCTGGCTGGCTCCCCTCGCCGAGTATCCAGGCATGTTTGAAGTCGAATTATTTCCGGCTGTTAAGGTCGTCCCAAAAATAGATTGAATCATGATTGGAAGATGAGACATTGATGTTCCGTATCGATCTCAAAGATAAAACGGAATAAAAAATATTGCGAAAAAAAAAAGTCACTCAAGAAAAACTTTCGAGATAGTGAAAAATATGAACGACTGAAGATGGAAGGTCCTATTTATATATATAAACAAAGCAAGAGATATATAACTACCCAACTTCCCTCCATAATCTTTTTTTAAATAAATATAATATTCTATTAATATATTTTTCAAAAAATAATTATATGGCGGCCGCCTATAAATATATATATTTTTTGAAATTCTAAATCAATACGAATTAGTTAATTAGTTAGAATAGTCTGTTATAATTTTTTAGTACAAAATTTATGCGGCACATTTGGTTGGTTTGTGGCAGATAATGAAGTTTATTGAATTAATTATAACAATTAATTATATTAATTTATTTATTTTTAATGTAGGTAGTAATGTTGAAAATTTTAAAATAAAAAATAATATATATAATTAAAAAATATTTATACAATGTATTTTAAATATTTTAAACTATATATTTTAGAAAAATATAAAACATAAATATCGTTTTGTATGGAATAAATGTAAAGGAGTTTGATATGGATCCTATATACAAGGTGTTAGAAATTTAATTAAATTAATTTATATTTGTTAATTATGTTTAATGAGTTTGGATCCTACGCTGATGTATTAAATTAATTCAGCTTATACTGAATTAATCTTAACCATTCATTTATTTTTAATTAAAAATAATAATTTAATTAATTTAACTTATCAATTGTTAAGATTTAGTTTAGCAGTGCTGAATAATGAAATTTTAGCATGCTATTCAAGTTGATGTTTAATATCAATAAATTTATTAAGTATAAAAAATTATGGCAAAATATATTTTTGGTCATTTTTATTCGCTGACGTATCAATATTAATTTATCTATTGTTAAAATAATAATTTTGGTCTCTTATTTGTTAAATTAGTTTAATTTTAGTCTTTATTCATTATTTTAATAAAAATCAATAAATATAATTATTACTGACGCATAAAAATTAAAAAATATTTTTTTTTTTAATAAAAAAACATAAGTAAAAAAATATACACAACACTAAAATCTATCCTTAAAAGTCATGAACTTATTTTTTTTTTATGATGAATATAATGTATGATTTTTATTTAAAAGTATCATTCTTATTCATTATTTATATTATTTTATATTATTATTTTTTGTAAATATCTCCCTTTAAATATTTTCTTTTAAATAAGTCTTTTCAAAACAAATTTAAAGACCTAATTTAAAAACCATTTGTTTAAAACAATTTAGTTGCTAGCTAATTGTTTATTTTAATTATATTGTTGGCATAAAAACGAAATATATATATACATATATTTTTCTTTTTGTGGATATAAGTATGATATTAAATACAGTGATATATACATTTTTTTTTGTTAATAGATACAGTAACTGAGAATAATTTTTCTGGAATAATTTTTTTAAAAATATCGTATGAGAATGTATACAACAAATATATCTATTAAAATTTTGAGAAAATAACAATTAAAGACTAAATCTAAACTACATTAATTGATAATGAATCAAAATTATCATTTTAAAAAAGACTAAAATTAATCCGAATATGAATACAATGAATCAAAATTATTATTTTAATAATATATGAACTTAAATTATCACAGATTTTACTCAGAAAAAGAAAAAATATTAACTAAAGTATAACATAAAACTTTTTTAAAAAGTGTTAATTAAAAAGGAATGGAGAGAATCTATGCATAGTAAAAAAAATTTGAGTTTGAATAGTTGTATGATGTGATGTAAACATGTGCTGATGCGATGTTGTGAATGTAAAAATTGATTTTTGGCATAATATAAAAAATAAAAAATAGTTGTTTAATTTGATAATTTTTAGGCGAAAAAATTTGATGAATAGTGAAAGTTCGAAAAAAATTTCCAAACAAACACACCCTAATAGTCTTTGGGAACCGCCGGAGGAGGAAGCCCACGGCTGAGCTGCCGAAAAAATCTGGAGAAGAGCGGTGCTGTCTTGAAACATGATAGACATTTTAATAGATTTATTTGTATATATTTCTTAATTTTAATATTTTATTTTTACAATAAATTATAATTTAAAGTGCTATTTTTAAAATAGTAAGTGCAAGCTATTTTTTTTTTTTAAAAGGAAAATGTTAAATTGAAAAAAAAAATTGCATTTTAGTCCTTTGGGCAAAAATGCAAATATGGCCAAAATAAGATGAAGTTAATTTTTTAAAATATTTTTGGAAAGTGGACAAATTTATAATAGGATTTTTCTTAAATTAAAAAGAAAAAAAATGTAGTAGGGACGTTTTGAAGAATCAGATACATGGGTAATAACAATAAGAGGATGTACCACAAGGGGTTTGTTTTTTTTTCTTATTTTTCTGTTTTTCTAGAAAAAAAATTAATATGCATTCATATTTTTATATCCCTACTTAATTTTCTATCTTTTTTTTTTTTTCAATTATTTCACAAAATAAAATCATTTTCCAAGAATCATCATCCTAATACTATTCTCATCTAAATGCCTCTAATTTTATAGTTCTTACTGGTCTGATTGCACTCGATGAGTAATGAGCGTCTTGAAAAAATTCTTTCAAAAAGATTTCATTTTTTTTTGTCCAGAGAGTAGCTTTTTTTTTTTTTTTTTTCCCTTTTTCTAATTTAATGGTAAAATCAACTAATAGGTTATGTGAAGACGGGGAATTGAGATTTCAACTTAAAAGCAATTGGTAATTGGTTGTAAGTAGAGTAGCCCTTCACCCCAAGTAAGAGAATTTCAAGATTACATCGAATATGAGATACTTAACAGGTTCTTTGTGTTGTTTATTAAAGTTCGCATATTCATTGTAGCATAAGAAAAAATTAATTATTATATATCTCGATAATTATAATTAATTTATTTAGAGATCCACAAATATAAAATAAAATAAAATCACAATCCATGATAATTTTTTTCCAAGTAGAAGCCAATTATTATTGAAGTGATTCATCCTAGGATTTTTCTTAGTGTTTAAATTTTCTTAGTATTTTTTCTCAAAGGATTTTTCTTAGGATTTTTTTTTTCAATCAAAACAGAGCACCACCGTGCTGCAGGGCAGTCGCCGTCTTTATAGTTGGTTTATTGATGTGTGTAAATGATTAAGGAAAAAAATAAAATCTTTCCAAAATCAACTTTAATTTCTTTCAATTTAATTCCAAATGCAACTTATATAGAATATTAACTAGCTATATCCTAAAAACATATAAATTGGCTTTCAACAACAATAAATTTTGAACCATAGACAAAGTAGTTCTCTATTGAATTCATTACAAGTTATCTATGCCCCGAAATTGAAAAATCTAGGCACTCTACTAAAGAAACGCTACAAAATCCTTCAGGCAGTGGATGAGCATGATAACGTAACGGCCTCTCCATGCAAACTCAGAAGGGAACGGTGAAAGGCAAGGCATAGATATCAACTTCCGGCAAGTGTTGCGCACGAGGCCACAATGCTGCATCGCTGGAGCAGGGCACACTGGGGATTACGGGTTTTTGTCTTTTCTCTGTCGGTATACATTTCTTTCGTCCAAACAACCAATCTTGATCATCCAAATCTTGAGGTACATCCTCCAACCGAGGTGGAAACCAATTCTCCATTATATTCTTCAACTTCAACTCCATTTTATGTAATTTTGGTGTAGCGGTGGTCGTTGTTGGTGGAATTCTTGTTCCCACAGGAGCAAGAGTGCTGGTAGGCCGGGAAGTCGAACAAATCTCTTTCTGATTGGATCTTTGCAGAGGCCCTTGAGGAATACTATCCGTTTGATTTGTTGTGTTGCAAGAAATTGCCCCGGGATACCTCAGGGCAGTCTTGCTGTTATCGTGAGAAATGGATTCTGCCTGCCCGGATGTAGAGCAAAGCTGTGGTTCACCTAAAGATGACACGTTTGACTCATTCTGCTTCTTAGAGGACAGTCGAATACGGATGATCTTTCCTGCTGCACAAAGGAAAAAGGAAAAATAACAAATTAATCCAAGAACCAAGAATGAATCAAACATAGGAGATCGTAAGTAGGAAAATGTTATTACCTCGGACATTGGGAACATCCATGGGCGAGCTCGGCCTCTTCCTCTTGTTGCTATTCTCTGTGCTATCAGAGGAAGTGCTGGGAGCATGCAAATGGACAGATTGCCCATGCTCCTCAGTTAGAGTGCTTCGTTCGAGTTGCTCAGGTTCAGTTTTACTTCCACTCGGAAGAAGATCCCCTTTCACATTGGCCGAAAGCTTTTTGTCAATGTGGCTTTGAGGGGTATTAGATTTCTCCCGACCCTGACATGTCTTGTCTTCAGACTTCCTCTTTCTCTCTTTTCTCTCTTTTCTGTCTTTCCTTTTCTCCTCTTCTCCTTTCTTATAGGTTTTCTTCTCTTTCTTCTTCTGCTTGGCATTCTCCCTTTTTCGGAGCTTTAGAGCACCAAAATAACAGTTTTAAAATCGAAGCCGGGAAGAGTAAATGCAGCATGGCCCACGACATGATTAGAGACCTCATCGCATTTTTACTTTGGCATGTAATCAACAGAGGCTAAAAACAGAAACAGAAACCTAACACGACAACCCCGGGAATCTCAACTGATTCACTTCAATCCACAATTAAGTAGCAATAGAGTACATAGTTACATATTAGACCTCTTAACCTTGACAGAACACATAATATAAAGAACCCAATTATTTACCAGAATTCTTTGCAAGTTAAAGAAAAACAATGATTTTCAAAATCAAGAAACATATAACAGGATGTGTTCAAGAATGATAACATAAATTCCGAGTCAGTTATGTGCAAAGGTTATTTATAACAAATCATGCTTCAAAAGAAACTCACCAAGGTACTATTTGATATTTCTGACATTATGTTCAGAATTAAATCAAGGTACAAAGCTCAATAGTTCAAAGGAAACCAACAGAGAAAACCCCCTGCCTACCACAAAGGTCGGTAACCAAAGATTTTACAAATTCCATTTTTCGATTTATATTTCAAGAATTACAAAAAGGAAAATGGATCTAAAGGGAAAACACCGACACAGCAACAATCCGTTCATTGTACAAAAATGTTTTCTCGATCCACATAACATGTCTTTATGTACAAGAAGAATCCCACCTAGGGGTCATTAATTTACATCGATGAGATGATGACTCATGCTCATATATAAATCAATGAGGGAGCAAACCTTAATCGATTCGATCAAGGCCTCATGGCTGGCTCCGCCCAGAGCGTACCCAGGTAGTGGGTATGGAAAGCACCGAGACATCTTCGAGATCGAATCGAAGCTTCTCACCCGACAACAAATTGAACCCACTAACTAATTCCACCCCGAACAACCGAGGGTTTTACTTAGGATTCGCAAAGAAACGCCCCCGTACAGCAGATCTATAAGAACAAAAAATCGAGATCTAAAGAAAACTGCAATTAGGGTTTCGGCGACGGGGAGAGAGGAATCCTCCAATTCCTTAAAGGCAAAATAGGGTTACTGTGATGCCGTGTGGGGTATTTATAGGCGAAGTCATAACCGACCTAGACGCGGTTTGGATTTTGCACTTTAATCCTTCAACTTATATGTATATTCGATTTAGTTCTCATACCCTTCCGGCCCGGCCCAGAACCATAGCTTTTCAATTGGGCATATTTCTGAAATGGATCGGCCCAATTTAACGTGTCTATTCAACCCGGATTATTGGGTTTGGATAGGGTCGGGTCGGCCCACTTTTAAGTCAACCGACTTCGAAGTATCAAAGTTATCTGCAATCATTTCAAGTGGAACAATTTGCAGAACCATCGCCGGAATTCTCGCCGGAAAAATGCACAACGGCGATCACCCTCTCTACCCGCAGCAGAACTATCCGCAGAGCCGCAATCCGAGCCCGATGGAGCCTTACTCCGTCGCTCCGCCGTCTTACGCATCCGCCCCGCCGTTCTCCGTCAACAATTACGCTCCCGTTTCGCCTCCCGCCGCCGATTACTCCGCCGCTTACCACCACTACAATCATTCGTCATATGGTTCCTTCACGCGGACGCCCGATTCGGCGCCCGCCGAGGGTTCGTATTCGCAGCCGCAACCTGCGTATAATTTCCCCCAATTCGAAGTTCACGGGACGTACCAGCCTTCGTCCCAGCCTCCGAGCCAGGCGGATCAATCTTCGTATTACGGTCGGCCGGCGCAGAGTTACGCATCGAGCCCAAACCCTAGTCTGATTCCCCCAAATTCAGGCTATCCGTCAACGCATCCCTCTACGCAGTACCCTCAATTGAATACCGGCTTTTATGATTCCCAATACGATAATCGTGACGTGAATTTGAGCCGGAGCAGATCAGATTTGGGGCCCGAATTCAATGGCAGACGAGGAGAGAGCGGATACTCAGGATATGAGAATGACGGTAGCTATGGGAGCAATGAAGGGGTTTATGCGTATCGGGGTGCTTCCGAGCCGTATGGAGCTCGGGGGACTGCTCCAAGGTCTTCGACATGGTCTGGATTTGATGATTTTGGAAGGCCTATTGGGTATTCATCCTCGTCTTCGGAGAAAGAGCGATCTTCAGACTATGGCTTGAAGGTTGTGAGGGCTGTTCCAAAGGCTGATACGCAACAGGATTCCAAAGGTGGAGTTCAGAAGTTCCGGGTGAAGCTGTTGGCAGAAAGTGGAGGACAGAACACCATGGATGTGCTTTGCCAGGTTTGTTAATGAAGAACTTCGCATTGCTTCGAAAAAAGGACTATTTTTTTCTAATAAAAAATAAAGCTATGATGATAGATCGACTAGTTAACTTTAGTGCACGCAATACAGTGTTTCTGAAATGCTCAGATTAGTTCCATTTGTCAGTTCCATATTGTAATAGCCAGAATCTAGTGTGATCACACCTCATGAGTTGGTAGCAAGCAATGTTTTTTAAAAGACTCCCGCGAGTTGGTCCAAGAGATCATTGATTCTACCTCCTAGACAATGGGAATTTATTCTTTTCGGTCAATTTGTTCTGGCATTGTCTAAAATATACAGTAACGCAGAGTCGAACTACCATGCTGACTGGAATTTGAGCGTTAACTTCTTGTATTCTTCTGAACTTGGATGAGAACTCTTAAAGGATGTTTTCAAATTAAGGAAACTACTTGTGTATGCTATGTCATTTCCTTAATTAATGATGTTTCGGTTTGTTCTACATTCATCATCTTGAATGCTCTAGACGTCATGTTTACACCACTTATAATACGTCTTTCGCATATTCTATGCTCCTCTGTTACTACGAACACCGACCTACTTGGATCTAAGAATTTCGTACACTATATGAACCTCTACATAATTAATTTGTATACAATTTTCCCTCCAAGATCCCTGTAATTGTGCTTCAACCATAGGGCATGACACATATCATAAAGATTGTTCATTCTTCTTCTTCTTTTTTTCTTTTTTTTTTTTTTTTTTTTGTTGCATCAGATGGAACTTTTGAATGCTAAACATACTATATTGAGTTATTTCAGATTGGTTTGGATGGAATCCGTATGCTGGACCCAAGTACAGGGCGGTTATTGAGAATTTATCTTCTTGACACTATAACAAAGTGCGAGGTATGATTCATATTACTTGGTTCCTTTCTTCTGTGGGGTCGTGGGTTTTGAGGGAAAGAATTGCGTATCATGTGTGTTACTTTTTCACAGGTATCGACTTTAATTAATTAATAATGAGATATCAAAAATGCCTGTTTAATAAGTATAATTTTAGCGTACATGATGTTGATCTGTATCATATACCAAGATCTCCACTTTAATAAGGTAGATGTGAACTTCAATTTTAACACAACTAAAATATGGTTTCTTTAATCTCGAATATGTATAAATGAGGCATATTCATATGACCCTTAGGGGAGTGATATGTTGGCAGAATAATTGGGTTATTAGGGCATAGAAGTTATTGTTTCTCACAGAATCACTGTTAAGGTGAGTTTCTGGCTTCTATAATAGTTTACCGGATAAACCTAACTTCTCTTTGTGTTATTCTGCTCCGCTTGTTCGCTTTTGTTACTGTTGATTACTGTTGTTATTATATCTGTATTTCTTGCAAATTATCTCATTAAACTGCTGGTTTACTTCTTTTATTTTTAGGCTATTGATTCATCAACATTTGCCTTCTGGTCAAAAAGCTCTGTGGACTTTGAACCTAGACGTATTAGACTGAAATCTAATAGTTATACCAACAACACCATTTTGGACATAGTTACTGCTGCAATTGTCCAGGTTTGTAATTCTCTGTCCTTTGCTCCTTCGATAATTATGTTCTCTTATCATCTACTGTGGTAGCCAGTTCTGAAGACCAATGGTCAAGCAGAGTCTCGCAAGGCTCTGCAAGTTTGCTTGCCCTCCTATATGGCCATACTCATGTGTACATTCGGTTAAATAATTATAAGTGGAGTATAATTGAGATAAGTCATTTTAAATGAGATGGTTTCCTTCTGAAATTGCAGTATAAGGAGATGGGTGGAAAAAGCCGCCCTTCTGAATCTCCTAAAATCGCGGAACAATCTACAGAGAAGAAGAAAGGTTTTGCTGATTTCATCAATTTAATAAAACCTGCAGACGAGGAGAAAGATCACTGGGTAACATCATTTTCTCTTCTGCTTTGAATTTCTCTTATAACCCCACTTCATTCTAAAAACTCTGTACTTTCAGAATTCAATTTCTCTTTTTAGTGTCTGCTGATTATTATTTATTTGGGGGTTAATTTAAACAGATCCCTGACGAAGCAGTGTCAAAATGCAGTTCTTGTGGAGCCAACTTTAATGCTTTTGTGCGAAGGGTATGTATCCCCTGGTTCTTTCTTTCTTTTTTCTTTTTTCTTTTTTTTTTTTTTTCCATTAATGCAGTTGCACCCTTATGTTGGTATTTAGTTGCTGGGTATGTTATCAGTTTCGCATTGGGATATTGGGATGCAGATACATTTGATTGCTTGTGAATTATTTTAACATGTGGTGCTTTCTGTTCTCAGCATCATTGCAGGAACTGTGGTGAAATATTTTGTGATAAATGCTCTCAAGGCAGAACTGCACTTACTGCGGATGAGAATGCCCCAGTTGTTAGGGTTTGCGATATGTGCTTGGTATGCACAAATATATTTTTTCATTTTTCAAAGAATTGTCTATGCACATCTTTTCAGCATTACTTTTGATCATAAGTGGAATGCATGGTCAATCTGCGCCCTGCTGAGTAGAATCTTCACATTTCAAATTGATATTTGATTGTCTTTCATGGGTGTAGTCATTGTATTTTGATTAGATATAGGCTAACATATTGGTATTCTCATAATTATGCAGGGTGAAGTTTCTCGTAGATTGACCAGTGCCAAGGAAGGTGCCAACCGATCCACTGCTGTTCACAGTCACGAGGATCTTGCCAGGAAACTTCAGGTTGCACATGCTGTTAGAATTGACATCCTAATAACATAAACATAAAGGCCGCGACTATTTTATCATGTTTAAGTCCTCTGCTGTCCTTTGGATATATTAATTGTTTAGACTACTAACCTTTTGAATTATTACTTGTATGGTTTTGCATTTTTCACATTTCATTTAAAAAACCACGAAGGGTTCTCATGTGCTGTGCAAGAATAATGTTTCTGTGTTAGTACGGCTAGCATTGTTTCTGGGAAACTCTATACAGATTCTTATAACTCATAAGTGTTGATTTAATTAGCGAGTATGAAATTTAAAGTTTCCAATAATTATACCATGTATAAGTATCTTTAGTTGGACTTGATCATGATTTATTTCCATTTTTCGAATGCTCTATGCTCGATGCCATTCTCAACAAATTATATATTTCCACAGGAGGAGTTGGAGAGAAGCTGCAAGATCTCATCAGGTATATTTAATGGTTATGAATAAATCATTGTTATGCTGCTGCATATGCTTCGTTGTAGTTTTCAAATTGTTGCATCAATCTTTTTGTAGTCATGTTATGTAAATATCCTAGGTAATGGAGAATGAGAATATTCTCGAGAGTTGTGGTTCTATTTGAGCCAACTGATTAAGAAAATCTTGAAATCAATTCCAAAACAATGAGTAATTGGCCCGCGATTAGTAGGTGTCAAAGTTTGGAATTCTCATCATTTTGGTCTTGATTAACAAGCCAAAAACTTCTGCTAGGTATCTTGTGTCAATAACCCATTAACCAGTTTGCGTAGTGGTAACTGGCACGCGACCTGGATGTGTCAGGTAGACAGCACAGGTTGAATCCTAACTTTTGGCGACTTAGGGAGTTCATTATATTAGTTACAACTGTGAGAAAGATTTTAGATACCTGCTGTCTAAAGAAAAGGAAAATGTTTACCATCAAGTATCCTGTAAGAATTACCAGAGCACTCTGGTTTGAATCGGAAGGCCTAAAGAAGACAATTAGCTTCAGAACTGAAATCCACTGTGGTTTCTTGTTTGTCTGCATATTACTCTCTCTCTCTGTAATTCCGGACACATTTTATATCATTAGCTGTCCTGCACTCCATTTGAAATTCCTGTTTTGATACTACTTTGTGGTTATTTCCAGGCTCTAAATCGGATGGCTCAGGAAAACGAATGAAAGAAGTCGCGTGCCCAACTTGCACTGTACATTTACAGGTTCGAGTCTCCCCTGAATTAGTTAAAGACTGTAGATTCTTATATTCCATGGTTTTTCATATTGCTGATGTTGATAACGGGCGCAGGTTCAAGTACCCCGCTCGGGTTCTGAGACAATTGAATGCGGTGTTTGCCAGCATCCTTTCCTCGTCTCCGGCCATTGATCCATTGTTGATGTTCTTTATTTTCTTGACATATTTGGTGTGGTTTGGTCTGAACATTACATTTTTTTTCCTTGATACATACTTACGGCTTCAGTTCCAACTCCCCCCTCCCCCTCCCCCTCCCCACCACCCACCCTTGTTTCTTTTTCTTTTTTTGGCTTCGTTATTTTGGGCTGAATTGTTCTACCAGATATTTGAGTGCTTAATGTACATTCAAGATTGAGGAATTATCTATCTGTAAAGCTAGAGGTTTGAAAATATGGCTTTGGTCACTATCGCTCCAGCGATTTCCAAAATATAATAATAGAGAGTACAAAATATATTATAAAAAAGTCGAAAGATCAAGAAAATTTCAAATAATCATTATAAAAAATCCAAAAATCATTATGAGGTCTATTTTGACATAATTTTTTATACTACAGATCATAAATTATTTTATCTAAAAATACTTAGATGAGCCAGACCTATATATTATTATTTTACCAAAATCACGAGGTGAACAAACCTTACTCATCTCTTTAGAAAAAGTGAGTGAGATATATAGAAATGATGGAATTTGTTCCTGAAGAATAGAACTTTAGAAATATATTATACACCTAGTTTTATCTGTCTCAAAATAATAGTCTTTATTTTCATTCATACTTTTTACTAATTACTAATATAATATCAATATTTCCGTAAATCTCATGTTCAACCAAATTAAGACTATATTTATGGAACGAAGGAAATATTATATTTGAAGAAATAGAGAGAACGGAATCGGTGAGAAAAATATATATACATATATATAATTTTAAAATATTTTAGCTTTGCATAGAAATATTTTTTTTAAAAAAAAATTATTATTATTTCCGTCAAATCCTCTCTTTCATTGCCGTCACCACGCTATCCGCTATGCGATTAGAATTTACAGGGTTCTTTGTATTAAGACTAATCTTTTTAGCTTGCTTTTTAAATTGAAGTTTTAGACAATGAAAAAAAAAATGTATCATAAATATGTTATTGATTTGTTGTGAATGAATAAATTTTTTTATATACAATATAATATAATTCATTAGTGAAATCCAAACAAGTCATATGTTAATGTATGCCCAATTGAAGAGTGATTATTATAGCACATGGTTTTCTTTTTCATTCAGAATAATTAATGAATTTTATTAAAATACTCACAAACAAATATCAAAACACAATAAAGATTTTTCTAATTCAATAATATTGCTTCATTTTCTTGTTAATGAATACAAACTTTTAAGCATTAATTGTGTGCAGTTGTTAGTTGAAAGTTGGAAGGTTTCACGATACCATCAGAAAATATTTAGATAAAAATTCAATATCTTTATATATTACTCCCTCCGTCCCATATATTTTGTCCGCGCTACCGTAGACACTGAAATTTACGAGGGGTATAATTAATAAATAATTAAAAAATTATAAATAAAATTTTAAAAATAATATTAAAGTGTATAATTATTTTTCAAAAAAGGAAAGTGACAAAATAAATGGGACGGACAAAAATAGAAATGTGGACATGAGAAGTGGGACGGGGAGTATAACGAACATTATAATAGAGATTATAAGTAAAATATATAATACTCCCTTCGTCCACAAAAAAAGTATAAAATTACTTTTAGCGCGGTGTTTAAGAAATAATAATATTTTAATTATAGTGGGTGGTTAAAAGTAGTGTAACGACATTTTTGCCTTTGCTTTTTGGTCTAAAAGTAATGATGTGATGTAAAGTAGGGGTGTTTGTATTTAATGAAATGTTTACTTTGTAATTGGACGTCCCAAAATAGAAATATGTATACTTTCTAGCTGGACGGAGGGAGTAATTTTTAATGTATGTATTTTTTTTATCTTTGATAATTTAGTACTGTTGTCTGTTGTCTCACCCATACTTTCCTACCTTACATTCTCTAATAACTTTCTATTAAAAAAATAATAAATAAAAACAGCAAAATTTATGGCTTCATCCAACAATTTCAGGAATTATTATTGAAGCATATTTAATTCCAAAATTTGTAGAGGCTATGTTTATATATATAGAAGATTTTGGTATTATTTGTTAACATAATTTTTTTAAATATATATATTATACTCCCTCCGTCCAGTTAGAAAACATACATATTTCTATTTTGGGACGTACAATTACAAAGTAACCATTTCATTAAATATCCCATTTTTTCCACAAATACCCCTACTTTACATCACATCGTTACTTTTAAACCAAAAAAGTAAGGGCAAAAATGTCATTTTACTATTTTTACCTACCCACCGTAATTAAAATAATATTATTCCTTAATCTCTGCGCCAAAAGTAATTGTATATTTTTAGCTTGGACGGAGGGAGTATGTATATATAATACTCATTTCGCTATTCAAATATATGCTCACTTTCAAAAACCTTTTTGGATTGTCATCAAAAGAATATTCTCGTTTCATTTTTAAGTAAAAAATCATTACAATTTTATATATATTTTTTTTACTATAAAAAAAAATTAACAATTATTACTAACTTTTATTGAAACACGTGTCCGATCAAATGAGCATATATTTATATGACGGGAAGAGTATTTATTTTATTTCACAAAATATTACATTATATAAAATTTTAGAACATTTATATGTTTTTTGAATACAAAAATATTTTACCCCAATAAAGGTAATTGTTATTTCTCAATGTGTGTGTATAATAGTTTAATGCTTTGTGTGAGATAATATTATATTTTTCTCAAAGTCCGGCGACAATATAATAGTTTGATATGATATTTTTTAAAAATTTAATTTTGATTCAACCGAAAGAACATTGACGGAGAATTTTGAATCAATAATCTTATATTCATAAATTTATCCACCAAAGCAACTCGATTATACTATCTTATTTTAAACCATATGTTCTTAACATTAAAAATCATCTAGCACAATACGGTTTTGTTTCGTTTTTATTGTGTAATAGTCATTTAATGTAATATTTTGTGGAATATATATACACATATATATATTTTATATTGCGAACCACAAAAAATAATGTAATGATCGAATAAGGGTTACGAGACAAATGTGATTATTTATGGTGTAGACATTCAAAAAAATCACATCAAATATATATTTATCTGTTTAGACGACGATTCTAAAAAATTTTGCACTATTCAGTTTTTTAAAAATATCAAATCAAATATATTTTTCTTTTACACAATATTTAATTAAATATTAATTTTTTACTATTTTAGAAACTTAGAAAACTTTTAAAAGTCTCTTATCTAAACAGAAACAAATCGCTTTTAAATACCGAAATTCACATGGAATGTGTAGTTTGTTTACTTGTATCTTTATTGTTATAATTATTTTCAATGTGCGCATCATGCCGAAAATATCAAAGATGTACTCCCTCTGTCCCAAAGACCTGCAACATTTCCTTTTTGGTATGTCTCAAACACTCTGCAACATTTTCAAAATAGGAAATAATTAATTCTACTTAATCTCTACCCCACATTTTATCCCCCTCACATCATCCAAATAAAAAAATAATATATATATTTCTCTCTCCATCACATCGTCTAATTTTTAAATTATCCTACTTAATACTACTCACCTAAAAACCCGTGTCAAAAGTAAATGTTGCACCTTGTTTGGGACGAAGGGAGTACAATACATATAGAAGATAATATATGGTTCATATTTAGTGTAAGGACCATGTCGAAAAGATTGAGGCTATAATATATAGAAAAAATTGATCTATATAGTTAATAATTAAAAATAAATAAAAATTATATACAATAATTATTTTTTTTTGGTAAAATTCTTAAAGCAAATAGTAATATTTAAAAAAAAAAAAAGGTTTCCTTGGACCATTAGGTGGGCAAATTTTGTTATCAACTGTTGCATCAAAATGAAAAATATAAAAATAAAATAAAATAAAAAAGGTTTTCTTGGACCATTAGGTGGGCAAATTTTGTTATCAACTGTTGCATCAATATGAAAAATATAAAAATAAAATCATATTTATCACAAATTAATTGAATGTGACCCTAATTGAATAGCTCTAGTTATTTTTTGTGTGTTGATATTTGAATATTAATTATTATATAAAAATATAATATAAATTAAGGAAAAATGACAAAAAATTACTTCTATTAGTGTCTTATAATACTATTATAATGATATTTGTGCAAAAAATTATACAAATATAATAATATTTTTAATGTTAACTACGCAAAAGATAAATGAACCCTTAGAGCTGAACGGATAGAGTATTTCCTCTTAAAGTATATATATATATATTGAGACATGGTTACAGCGTGTTCAATAAATTTATACTTCTAATATTTTTAACAATCAATATTTTTTATAATTTAATATATTTAACAATGATTCACATTGTGTTGATGTTAAATAGTACTGTTCAATAAATATATAATATCCAATAAATAACATAAAAATATCTACTCAACCACCATATATATAAAAATTATTAGACCAATTATTTGTGTCCGAACCAATAATAATATACATAATTGTATTTATAATTTATGTAAAATTTAAAAATATTTAGATATTAATGTGAGCAATTTTTTTTTTTTTTTTTACTATAACAATAAATATATAGTTTTGAATAAAATTGATAAAAATTGATGTTTTGTGTGGAATTGAAGGGTGTATATATAATGGCTTCGCAACAACAAAATGGTTTTTTTTGTATGATATAGAAAATTATGTAAAAAATATAAAATATTATTTCCTCCGTCTTCGGATACTATATCCGTTTTACGGTAGACACGAGAATTTAGATGGAGTATAATTAATAAATAATTAAAAATATATTAGTGTATATAATTATAGTATAATAAAAATATTAAGATAACTAATTAATCTAATTAAAATGTAAAAATTTATAAATTAAAAAATTAAAATAAGATTAAAAGATGAAGATAGTAAATGGGGCGGAGGGAGTATATTATTTTAGGTTGAAGATTTGACTTTTTTACTTTTTTTTTTAATAACTTTTTAATTTTTGTATAAATTATTTTGTATTTTATTATTACTTTTGAAAAATCACAATTTAAAAAAAAGAAAAAAAGAAAAAAGAAAAAAAGACAGAACTAATATATTTACATACATACAAATAGATGCCTCAATTATTCCATATGGTTGCCATAAATTGTAGGCATGGCCAGCTCCATAAATACCCATTAGGGCAGCTGTGAGTAATAAATTAAAAGTCCTACAAACCCCAACAAAAAAAAAAAATTAAAATTAAATAAAATAAAAACATATATATATAAATACATACAAATTTGTAATAGATCATCATCTTGATAGTAATAATGTATGTCGAAATAATTATGTGTTTCTTACAGGGGTCATGTCCTTCTAGAAGATTTTGTTGTTATTTTTCACCATGGTTGAGGTTCACCATCATCGCCATAATTTCGAGCGCCGCCGCCGCCGTCATACGGCTGCCGCCGAACATGTCGATTCCGGCGGCATTTGTGTTCGGAGATTCCATTGTCGACACCGGTAATAACAATTACATCGCCACCATTGCCAAGTGCAATTTCCCACCTTACGGCCAGGACTTCATCGGAGGGATGCCCACCGGGAGATTTTCTAACGGGAAAGTTCCCGCCGACCTTTTAGGTATATATATATATATATATATATTTATTTTTTTTATTACGTGAAAATCCGCAGTCGCTATCCGAAAATACGAATTGAGTAAATCTCCGACCGATAAATATATATATATATATATATGAAATATGATTGTCTTTGAATTTGCTTTTTAGTCGAAGAATTAGGCATTAAGCCTCTTCTTCCTCCGTACCTCGACCCATCCTTGACGAGTGAAGATCTTTTAACCGGTGTGAATTTTGCGTCTGGAGCTGCTGGATACGATCCTTTAACCTCAGAATTATCGGTATTTAATTTAATTTAGACTCTTTTTGTATATAGATATTTTGATATTTTATGGCTATTTATTAATAGCAAATCTTTTGAAATAATATTAAATCAAATATTTAACTTTTTACTATTTATTTATTTCATAATTCTCTTTCTATTATTGATGTGTGTATATATACGGCAAATACTAAACCACTCCTTTTGTTATATATTAAAATACTATAGTTTGCATTAATTTTATTATAAAATATATAGTATAAAAATATACTCATTTTTATAAATAAATTAAGTATGTTATAAATAATTGGATTTTACATTTATAGCATATAATAATCTATATATATATATATGTGTGTGTGTGACAGTTTGTGTTATTATTTTGTAAAATGCTAATTTAATTTAATTTAATTTAATTTAATTTTGATGATGCAGACAATCTTGTCATTAGATGATCAATTAAAATTGTTCAAAGAATACATTTCGAAGATTAAAGTGATTGCCGGAGAAGAAAGGGCGACGAAGATAGTGAGCGACAGTATAGTTGCCGTAGTTGTCGGAAGCAACGATATTACAAATACCTATTTTCTTACACCTTTTCGTAAAGCTCACTATGATATTTCTTCCTACACCGACCTGCTAATCGGCTATGCTTCAAAGTTTGCCCAGGTATTTAGAAAATTTTGTCACCATTTTATTGTAATATTTTTTAAAAACACAAAATAAAATATTTAATATTTTTTTTCAAAATTATCTATCTAAAAGTCATTTATACAATGGTGGTGAAAAATATATAAATATGTTTTTGTTTTTATAATAAATAAAATAATACTCGATATATATTTTCTTAAAAATAATACATCTATATTTTAATTTTTTATGAAAATATTATCTCAAATAATTATTTATCCATATAGTTAATAATATATATGGAAGTGAACATATTAAATATTTTTGGATTATTAAAATATATTTACTTGTAAAATTTCAATAGGTTTTATTATTATTTAACAATAATAATAATAAATAAATAAAAACTATCAAATTAGATATATATTATTAATATTTATATTATATTAAAATTAATTTTATATTCAAAATAAGATAAGAATATCTCTATTCATATCAAATAAACAAACACACTCGTGTCATACTTTTAAAATAATAAATATAATAAATTCGATGAAAATAATTGAATGAAAAACAGATATACATCTCATTCATCTCAATCAAAACATTAACATCAATATATTTAAAAAAAAAACAGTAAAATATATATAATTATATGTATAAAAAGAAATTATTATTATTATTATTATTATTATTATTATTATTATTATTATTGTTGTTGTTGTTGTTGTTTATGTTCGAAATATTTCATTTCAACTTTAACAAATTCATTTTGCCTTCCAATTATATATTTGTATTTTGTTTATGGCCTCAAGCAATCTATAATTCATTATTTTGCTAATACATAAACCACAAAATAATAATTTTTACATTTGTAAAATAGAATTTTCTTCCTCTTAATTGACATCATTTCCAATGAGTCAAAGTCTATGTCAATGGATTAATGTCATTTATTGAAGAAAATATTAAATTTTGAAATAAATTTATTACTTTTATTTGTGTGTATAATTTTTTAATTGAATTTAAAACAAATACATATTTATATGATAAAAAAAAATAGTACTAATTGTAATATTACTTTCGTCTAGCTCTAAGGTTTCATTTATTTTTTCGATGTTGATATTTGAATATTAATTATTATATCAAAACGTAATACAAATTAAAGAAAAATGACAAAAATACTTCTACTAGTGTCTTATAATACTATTACAATGACATTTGTACAAAAAATTATACAAATATAAGAATATTTTTAATGTTAAATACAATGACGCAAAAGATAAATGAGACTTTGGAACCAAATGGTACTATTTTTTTTTTATAGAAATTTTGATAAATTAAATAATTTATTGAGCTATGTTTAATTTTCAATTATATTAAAAATTAGGAACTCTACGAAGTCGGGGCACGGCGAATCGGTGTTTTTAGTTTGCCACCGGAGGGATGTTTGCCGTCGCAAAGAACACTACGCGGAGGACCCGAGAGAAAATGCGTAGACGAGTTCAATGAAGCCGCGCAATTGTTCAACCAAAAGTTAGCCGTTAAGTTGGGCTCGATGAATGCCGAATTCCCCGATGCTCGATTCGTCTACATTGATATATACAACCTTCCTCTCGACATCATTAACAATCCTAAAAAATACGGTACTCAATTTACTTAAATTAAATAATAATAATAATAATAATAATAATAATAATAATAATAATAAATTTATTAATATTATTTTTATTTTTTGTAATTTTTATTTAGGATTTACAATTTCGGACAAAGGATGTTGCGGGACAGGGACAATAGAGGTGACATTGATATGCAAGTACGCGTGCTCGAACGTGTTGGATCATGTCTTTTGGGATAGCTTTCACCCAACTGAGAAAGCTTATAGGATTCTTGTCCGTACGCTACTTACTAGATGTATCGATAATTTTTTGTCCGCACGATCAGCCTGTTAATTTATTTAATTTCAAATGTGCATGCTAAAGCAAAAGATTCATTCGATACAAAATAATAATAATATTATTATTATTATTATTTATAATGTGGGAATTCGCAGTCGCTATCCGAAAGTGCACTGGGTAAACTTTCGATCGAACCTAATACCTTGCAAACCAGACTCGACATGCAAGTCACACTTGACGAACTGAGGGGTTTGAACCCATAAGCTCACGGTCACGGTTTGGAGTCTATTTAGATAGTATAATTTTTTAATCTTTGCATGAATTATTCATAAAGGTCTACTTGGTTTGTTAATTTATTTTTTTTTTAATTTATATTTTATGTTAACTTAGCTTGGTCTTTTAAAGATACAATATTATCAAAAAAATAAATAAAAACATGTTATGTAATATACAACATATACATATAACAATAAAAATAATAAAAATTAAAAAATTATTTTTCTCTATAATACTTTAATAATGTCACATACCTCAAGGTAAAGACAATTAAAACAATAATCACTAAACAATGCACTCAATGTGTTTCAATATAACGTAATATTCTTTTGTATTTTAGAAAAGATGCACATAATTTTATCTTCATCCAAAGTTGATATGAATAAAAATGGTTAAATATTTTAAATAATTTTATTTGAGTAAAAACATAATAAATAATTAATCAATCATTCATTTATATATATATATATATATATTTGTTGTAAAAATTAGGTAACAACTTGCCTAAAAAAACCTATTAAATGGATAGTTGATAATTTATTTATTTATTTAAAAAACATTATTTAATATTTTTTTTTTATTTGTATAAAATTTATATATTTCGATACCGTTTACAATCAAATATCTACTTTGGAAGAATATAATGTTTTGTGCATACTTTAATTTACCAAAAGAATTTTACGTAATACAATAAAGTATTATATAATTAACTTTTAATATATTATATAAATATTTTTAATACTAAATACAAAAGGTTTGTAAGGTGAGGGTATTATTTTGTGCTTGATTTTTAAATAAAAATATTAAATATATTATTTTTAAAAAGAAAGTGATAAGTTAATAGTAAAACCTTTTTTTTTTTTAAAAAAAAAAAAAAACATACATACAAGTCTATATATGTACATTATTCATATGGCAAAACCCCTAAAGTTGACTATATACATTACTTAGAAAATTGAATCATTAAAAAAATAATACTAGCATTTAATTTGTTACCAAACGTTTCATTAATGAATTAAGTATATAATATTTTTTTTTATTTTTTTTATATTATCAAAATAATTTATCCTACTTAATATAAAAAAATTATATATATATATATATATATTAAAAAATATAAAGTCAACAAACACTTGATTGTGCGTGAATATATCATTTATTGTGCAAGACGGATTGGTTAGCATTTATAACGAGAGCTAACGTAACAAAAGGTTAGTTGCTCATAAATAGTTAGGTATAAGTAATATACGAACAAATTTTCATTCTATATATTCAAACTAGCAGTGGATACGGTGTAACATAAAATATATATAAATATAACATATAAAAAATTAAATAGTACTCCCTCAGTCCCAAACAAGGTGCAGTATTTATTTTTGGCACAGATTTTTAGGTATGTAGTATTAAATAGGATAATTTAGAAATTATGTGATGTGATGAAGAGAGAAATATATATTTTATTATTATATTTGGATGATATGAGAGGATAAAATGTGGGGTAGATATTAGTATAATTAATTATTTCTTATTTTAGAAATGTTGCATGATGTTTGGGACATACAAAAAGGAAATATTGCAGGGTGTTTGGGACGGAGGGAGTATTACATTTTATTCGTCTATACTATATATATATATATACTTCCTTCGTCCCGTTGTAAGATTGTCATTTACTTTTTTTTACAAAGAATTTTTAATATTAGTATTATAATGAGTTGTAGTTATAAGGACAAAAATGTCCGTATTGTTTAATATAAAAGTAATGACATTTGTGTAATATAGTGTAAGTTTGAAATGTATTTATTATGTTAGGTAGGTAGTACGATTACTAAATTAGAAAATGATAACTTTGTTTTAGGACGAACGAAAATGAAAAATGACAAAAGAGTATTACAAATGAACTAATTAAAAATATATATATATATTAAATTATTAACACAAAACACAAATAAAATATAATTAACAAACACAATGACAATTGGTACATATTTATTATATTATTAATTTCGACAACGTCAACTAATTAACATTTAATCATAACGAATCTATAAAAATACTAGCAATGTTATATAATGTTATATTTTAATTTCAAAATATTAATTTATATATAATAGTGATAACATTATATAATCGTACTTATTATTTTAGAATGTTAAAAGTATTTGAATTTGTAATATCAGTAACATTTAAAAATTTGAATTAATGTATTGTTCAAAAATAAATTGTTTCCGATAATTTTCTTAAAAAATTAGTTAAAAAGAAATTGAATATAATTTATTTTAAAAAAAAATGAAATTGAATATATATAATATGATTGAAATAAATTTTGTATTTATATAGATAAGTTATCGATAATTTAAATTTTCAGTAATAATTAATTAAATAAATAATTAATGTTTTTTTTATTTATTTTTTTATTAAAGGTAATAAGTTCTTCGAAAGATAATACACTTGTAGTAACTGTATATATTACTAGAGATGATAAAATCGTAAAACGTTGAAGATAATTCTAAAGCTAAGACAGAAGAAGATTGTAATAAAATTTTAAATGATTTGAAATAAATGGGCCGTTCTTCATGAAATGAGCCCAATAGTATTATTATTTATCACGTGGCCCAGCCCAAAAATAATTGAATCATTGAGCTTGGCTCTCAACTATGCGGGGCAATGCCAATGTGTTTTCGTACGTGAGAATTTGGCGAGGGTTTTGAAATCTGGAAATGGATCCTCTGGCTGCAGTGGTCGACATGGTGAATGGATTAACGAAATCTGCGCAGCACTTCGCTCATGGACTCTTTAATTCCCGCCACAATTCGAGCCCCCGTAGCCCGGTAATCATGCTTCTAATTTATTTATTTAGTTTATTTTTAGTTTTGCTGCGATGAGATGATAGTTGCGAGTGAAGTACCGAATTACTTGCTGAATTAGCTTTATTTTGTTCTTCTTCTGGTTGCGTAGCAGCGTGTGATATGATCGGATTGTGTCGTACGATTAGTATGGTGAATAAGTGTTGATTGCTTCGATATCAGTTCAAGTTAAATTCCTCACAATGGCGACAGGCCATATAGAGATCAGAGGTGGCTTTTGTAAATTTTACTAGGAGGTTGATATTTGTGAATTTTCGTATCTTATTTATTTAATATTTTTGGTTCCAATATGGAAAGAAGTTGTAGTTGAATTTGATAGGACTTGGAAGTGTATCTGGATGTTTGGGTAATTTGATTATTTCACTGTCAAGTTCATTGTTAATGTGCTCGGTTGGCTGGGTACAGGGAAGGGAAATATAGTAATGATTTTCACTTTCATTTTTAATTTGAATGTTTGGTATAATCTAGGATCCGAAATACTGATTTGTTTGTTATTCAACATTGATTTGGTATATTTTAGTCTGGAATAGTATTAATGAAATAATAGTACAATAATGTGAGAAATTATTGCTTTTTTTGTTATGTGTATCTTCAGATTCATTTCACTAATTCATCCATTTCGATAAAAAAATTATTCCTTCATACAAGTGGTTTATGCACTACTAAAGAATTGGTATATACGTCTGCTTAATGAGCATTAAAATTATTCTGAGGCTGGTGGGCGATTTTGGTTTGATGAATTTGTTGCTTCGTAGGAAGAAACAAGCTATGTGGCAGGGCTTTATAACTGTTCAAATGATCTGATCTACAGATAGAAATATTGAAGAGGCTGCAACGGGAAGCATTTTCGGATATCATGAGAATCAGGGACAGGCAGGACAAGCTAGAAAGACTGCTGAGCTTCTACAAGTTTTCCAAAGGAAGTCCATTTCAGGAAGCGAGCACTCATGTAAAGGGGAAGGTGGATTTTCTAGGGGCATTGCTCTTTATGGATGGTGTTGATGAGCAGAAATTTGAAGCATTTCAGAGATCAGGAATCAGAACCGGTATTGATACCAGACTTGTATTTGAAACACACCTTCGAGATAGAGATACACTGGCAGCAGAGTTTGTAGCCGGTGACAAAGATAAGGGTGGCATGTTCGGTGGCCCACTTTCGCTGGCTAAACTTATGTACACAGCACACATCAGCAATTTTCTCTCTGCAGTTGCAAGTCCAATGGGTGCAAGATGCAAAGACGTTGCAGTTGCAACAAATTCTCATCAGGTAGTTTGGCTTGGTGAATTGTTTTGCTTCTTTAAATTCGATGCCTAAGCTTTTGCAATTCTTTGCGTCATCTTTGTAAAGTTCTGGCTTGCATGATGAAATATAATAGCTTATTTACATAGTTCTAGTTATTTTGCAGCATGATGCCCTTACTGAATACTCCGAATTCGGACCTCCCCTTCTGAATCAGAACATTGGCAGTGGCATTGGCGTAATGGTTAGAAAATTGAACATGGTTGCCACTTTGGCTCAGTTTGTTTCTAGTCTAGGATTGGCTCAGTTCCATTCTCCTGAAGCTACACGATTCTCCACCACTTTTGGACAAGTTGTCTTACAACTCTCCAGAAACACAAAACTGTCTCTCTTGGGCATGCGCAGAGATTCCCTGCTAGTTAGTCAAACCTTCAATCTTGGACCCTTTACTTTCCCGGTCAGCATATTGAAACACAGTAGGTTCTCAGCTACAACTGATGAGGAAGAAAGCCCAAGAAGTAGTGGAAGATTCATGATTGACGGATCAGTTGCTTTGATGATCGACTCAGATCTTGATGAGAGCACAAGGCTAGGAGGGTGGATAGAGATGAAGAATTCAAACCCCGGATATTCTCAATGGGCAGTTACTATGCGGGACACTCCTGAAGATGAGTTTGGATGGGGCTTGACGGTGGGAGGCTCACTTCAAGGCCCAAAAAGCTTGGAACACTTTCAGTTCGAAACATTTTTGAACTTGAACTTTGGCACCAGATTTAAGTTTCAGCCAGCTATAGTGTATGTCAAGGATGGAGCAATCCAATTTCCAGCCATCATGCTCCGTTCGAGTTGGTCCTTATGATTGAATGGCCGCAATATCCTCCCTTCTCTAAAAAGTTCATTTTATTATGCATCAAAAGGAAGTGGTTCTGCATTTCATGGTTCTTCGGCAGCACATCTGCACGAATTATTGCCGAAAATCAGTCAGAGGAAACTCTACATGGGGTTAGTAATATAATTCTTGTGCCTCTTGCCTTAATTTTTGTGTTTGAATTGAGAGCAGAAGTTTTTCAAAAGCAAGGGCTCGTAGCTTAGCCATTTCTATAGTTAATTGTATCTATGCTATTCGATTTATTTATTTTATCCACGAAATGTTCAACAGGTTATATAAAGTTATTATTATTATTGATTTTCAATCAGAATGATCCTATTAATTTTGGAGGATTGAGGGATAGGGATGACTTTCCTAAGCACGGGCTATCTGTAGAATGTAGATTATGTAGATTAGGAATTATAGAGTTAGGACCGTGAAATTAGGTCATACAATATTGCCCATTTATCGTTTTCAAAACAGGGCAAGAAACAAAAGGCCTAAACCCCACTACACCTATCCCAATTGACCTTTCCTCTACTCTGTATTCAGTGCTTGTAGATGTTTATAGAATATTATTGAAAAGCATCACTTAAGACTTTTGTATAAAGATTATCAGTGATCTTATAGTTTTTTATATACACAAGTTTTGATTATTTAACATGTACTGACAAAGGGATGGTATGAAATACAATAGAGTATTATAATCTCCATGCCAGTGGAATGTCGAGTTGTTCCCTTAGGTATTTTCTTGTATACAAAAATACAATGTATACACAGAGACAGGGGGTAGCACATGTATCCAATTCCATGGTGGCCACATGGCAACAGCTAAGCTAGACAAAGGCCCATGAAGAGGTGAGGTCCCCTTAAATTAATCCCCACTTTCTCTGCTATCATTTCAGTTATTATGATGATTCTTCTATAACTTACATTTAACAGTTCTTCTTGATGTGCACTTTCTCCTAAATGCCAAATTTCTGAAAGCTATGCCCCTTTTGCCTTTTTCCACTAACTGCTCTAATTCTTCACAACCCGTGAAGAAAACCCAATCCCCTTTTCTCTCTCTCTCTATTTAGGGAATTAGGGTTTTGGAGGTTTTCAGCAATGGCGTCGTGGGAGCATTTCGGGGAGATAGCTAATGTTCTGCAACTGTCGGGGCTGAACGCGGTGGCGCTGATTGGGTTGATTGTGAAGGCGGCGAACACGGCGAGGATGCACAAGAAGAACTGCCGGCAGTTCGCGCAGCACGTGAAGCTGATTGGGAATTTGCTGGAGCAGCTGAGGATATCGGAGCTGAAGAAGTATCCGGAGAGTAGGGAGCCATTGGAGCAGCTGGAGGAAGCTTTGAGGAGGGCTTATGTGCTGGTGAACAGTTGCCAGGAACGGAGCTATTTGTACCTGATGGCGATGGGGTGGAACATTGTGTACCAGTTTAGGCGGGCGCAGGAGGAGATCGATCGGTATCTGAGGATTATTCCGTTGATTACGCTCCTGGATAATGCCAGGGTCAAGGTAACCTTTCTTTTTCTATTTCTTTTTTCGTTCTTGAGATAGATAATTGCTCTGCTTTTGCTTAATGATTTAGGGTCTATTTCTTTTTTCTTGTAGTTTGCATTCATTCAATTGAGGTTGCTATTATTTGAGTTTTTTATTTAAATAGTTCATCTATCTGTCAAATTTATTCTAATTTTAATTTTACTTTTTAATTTATTTTGCTAAATTTATCCCATCGTTTAACTTTATTCTTCTTTCCACCATTTATTTCATTCTAAACATTTATTATAAATTAATGTTAGTACCTTTGTTACTTTCTCTTTCTCTAATTTTTTTAATTTTTAATTAAATTTTCGAAAATATTTCTAATTATCTTTTTACTTTTATATTCTTTTTAATCTTTCGTAATATTTAAGTAGATATTTTGCGTGGAAAAAAAAAACTTCTCTATTATAAAACAAAAAAGGTTCACTTTCTTCTTTTCCTTTTCTGTCTAACAAAAGTATATTTTCTTTTAATAAAAAATAATATTATCTCAATCCCAATTTAAAGTATTTTCTTTTATTTGTTTCACTAAAAAAAAATAAAAATCTCAAATATTAATTTATATATAAAGTATAAAAGATAGAAATATTAAATTATTATACACATTTTTATTAACAAATTAAATATTACTCAATCTACTCGAAACTCAAAGAATCCATTTGGATTGGGATGGAGATAATATCACTTTTTTAGTTTTCTTATTTTTTTCTAATGTAAAAGACAAATTACACATCAAATTAATTCCGTGACAAAAGTAAACGAGTCTATTTTTGGGCGATGGAGGAAGTCTTTGTTTTTGGAAATGCATAGTTCAAAATAAAAATTGAAATTTTCTCTGTTCAGTCGCAAATGACCAATTTTCTTTTTAGTTCATCCGAGATAAGATAATTTTTTTTGATAAATTTAATAATTTTAAACATATTTAACAAATATAAAATAATTTAATTAAATATTAAATCCCTACACATGGATCCTTTTTTGTCCATAGACAAATATTTTAAATTTTATTTTTTATAAAATTAATTTATGGTATTATAAATAAATAAATACATCTTTTTATTTATTTGTATTATATAAAATTTTATTCTTTATAAAATAATATTAATATTATATATATTTTATTTAGATATACTTTCTATTTTGAATGTCCTCCTAGAAGAGTTATATTTTTTTTAATAACTACATATATCAGCATTCGTTACAAATACTTTTCAATCATACTTGTTTACACAAATACTATTTGATTACAAATAAAGTCAAAGGACAAATTATCTTTTTAACCTTAAAAACCACGAGCTATCATTATATACAATGTTTCTTAATTTTTGCGCAAAAAATAATTATAACTCTTTAGCCGGAGTGAGGGAGTAGTATTTAAAATATTTAATCACCAATATTAAATTTTTTTAATTTTTATTTAAAAAAATAATAACAATATCATTTATATAAAAATATTAAAATAATATTATAACTATTATAATTAACTTTTTAAATTACACTAATTAAAATCCTATGTTTCTAATCTAAGGTCATCCTAGGAGGGATTATAAATTATCCTTTAGTATTACAATTATTGTATTTCATTAAATCTTGATTTAATGACCATTCATTATTTCCTCAATAAATCAACCATTACTACTAGTAGTGTTAAACTTTTATTTACTCAATACATTTCTATTGGTTGTATATAATATTTGTGGCATGGCTATTATGTGACGATCCATGTGTATGTGGAAATGAAATGACCTTAGAATAAAATAAAATTAGAAATAGAATGGTTTTAATGATCACATGATTGTATTAAATAAAAATTTATGTTATTTTTAGATTGATAGTAACTTATAGAACATTTTTAACTAAATACAAAAAATATTTTATGTGATAACAAATAAAATAACCATACTTTTTGTTCATGGGAGTGATGATTCCCGGAATGGTCATTTCTATTGAGAACTTATACCAATCTTTGGAATAAGAATACCATTTTTGCATACTATCAGCCACCTTAAGGTTTTAATACCGTTTATTAGAATATTTTTGTTGAGATATTTTAGATATTTTTTTTTAAATTTAATAAATTTAGATTCAAATTTAGTAGATTATTTAGAATTGAGTAATCGAGTGTTTTATGTAGTTTATATATGGACATTTTATTTTGATGATTAATAAAGCAATTTTTTAGTTTTCATTAAAAAAAAAAAAAAAAAATCAAATTTGGAAGACCTCGGGTACATTCCAGTTGAATGTACCCGGAGAAAAATAAGCTCTGATAATTTTATTAATTTATCTTTGTCTAAACACCATTATAACTTCATTTGCAAACATTGTCACACTTGTTCTGATTCCGATTCCGATTCAGTGTCTAATTTTGTATGAAGTAAAGAGGAAAAACACTTGAGTCTATAAATTTTTGGATTTTTTTTGTTATTTATTGGGAACTGAAAAGTGAAGTGTTTTAAAATATTTGTTTTATTGTTTTTTCTTAAAAAAAATATTTTGCGAGAATAAATAGCATATTTGCCTCTACAAGTGCTCTTATACGTATGCCTGCTAATGTTATTTGTGACTGATTTGCTCGACACAGTTCAACCACTTGCTTGGGTAAGTGCCTTAAATTTTATGCCAAAGATGACTGACTCTTGTCGATATGTTTCAAAACTTGTGTGAATATCTAGGGAAGGTTAGAAGAAATTCAGCGGGATCAGCGAGAGTACACACTAGACGAAGAAGATCGAAAAATGCAAGTTGCACTTTCTGAAAATGACACCATAATCTTAAAGAAAAGTCTTTCATGCTCATACCCAAATTTACCATTCAACGAGGCACTAAAGAAAGAGCGCGACAAGCTTCAAGTGGAGCTGCAACGATCACAATCAAACATGGACGTGGATCAATGCAAAGTAATCGAGCGTCTTATGGAAGTTACTGAGAACGCTTCCATCCCGGAGAAAGATTCGCCACCAAATCCGGAAACAAAGCATTTTTCTGGTGAGGAAACTGCTAGAAAAATTGATACTTCAACAAGCTCCAGGTTCGTCTAGTAAATGTATATAATTGATCTTACCTTCTATGAGGTCCGTGCGGATTTAGACTTATATTTTTTCCTTTCTATAGTTATGCAAACAGAGAAATTACAACGTACTCAGGTCATAATATGGAAGAAAATTGGGATCGATCATGGCGAGATGAATGGCATGCGGATTTGCTCGGCTGTTGCTCTGAACCCCTCTTGTGTATGTATCTATTATATATGCATTTAATTTGAATCTTAATAGGAATTGGCGGTGTTTTTATATATCGACAATGGCAGGTGCAAAGACGATCTTTTGTCCTTGTGATACATTTTCGAAGATAGCAACCGTGGCTACCGGGAAGCATATATGTCTGTAGTACATACGCATAAATATGCGTGTTCGATAAATTTACAATAAATATTATTTTGTGTATGTCGTGATGTGAAGGTTCATTACTGTCACAGCTTCGGCGCAGGCGTGTAATGATATAATGGCGTATTCTCTGATATTGTCGTGCTGTTGCTACACCTGCTGTATTCGAAGAAAACTCCGACGAACTCTCAACATCCAGGTAAATTTTGAAAATAGTAAAAATTTGAATATTAGGTAAACTGATTTTTTTAATCTCATAATTACACAATTTATTATTTTAGTCCCGTAATTGTAACTTAAGTTCCATAATTTTCGTCTTCCGACACTGAAGATGCCTACGTGGCACTCGTATGGTCTCTGGAGGACACGTGTCTGCCATGTAAGCTACACAGGGCAGACACGTGGAATTTTTTTAAAAAAATTTTAATTTATTTATTTAGTTTCTTTAAAAATAAATAAATATTTTTTTAAAAAATAAAAATATAGGTGTGGCCGAACTGACACGTGTCCTCCTGTGAACACATCTTCAGCAGCGGGATGTGAAATTTTTCACTTACGGCATTAATTTATGACATACTCTAGTTATAAGATTAAAATATAACATAAAAGGAAGGTTCATTTACTAGAAAAATATTGTATTCATGAGTTTTGCAACATGAGATTCAAGTGGATTTTCGATATCTTGCAGGGCGGCTGGCTCGATGATTTTTTATCGCATGTAATGTGTTGCTGCTGCGCACTCATCCAGGAATGGAGGGAAGTCGAGATACGCGGTAATTACCACTATATTGTCTGCTTGTTCGAATCCTGTCGTGTTTTTGCCGTGTAGATATGATTGTAGGCTGCATAATTTGTACGTGCAGGCTCACAAAAGGTCAGGACAAGCCCTCCTGCGTACCAAGAAATGGATTAGTGAGTGATTCTTGAGAAGCCATGAAAGAAGAAGCTTTAGACAAGAAGAGACACTGGAAGACAATTTGTTGTTGTTAAAAAATGATTAATATTTGGAGAAAAAATCATTAATATTTTTACTTTATTATTATTGTTGTTGTTGTTAGAAATGTAATGATATTATTATTGCACATTGTATTTTGGGAAAAATGAAATAAATTGGAAGGGGAAGCCAAGGGGTAAGGGCAGTTTTGGTAATATGGAAGGTAGAAGGGTAAAATTGTCTTTTTTGAGGGTGTGGCGGAAGTGGAAGGGGCGTGGCGCTAGCATTTGGAGAAACAATAAAGCTGATCCAATCTTGGTAACGTCGGCTACAACACTTAGGTTCAAAACGATGTCGTCGAGCGCCGGAAGCAAGAAGATAACGCTGCGCAGCTCCGATGGGGAGGTTTTCGAGGTGGAGGAGGCGGTGGCCCTCGAGTCGCAGACGATCAAGCACATGATCGAGGATGATTGCGCCGATAACGTTATTCCTCTCCCCAACGTCACCGGGAAAATCCTCTCCAAGGTCATCGAGTACTGCAAGCGCCACGTCGATGCCGCCGCCGCCGCCGCCTCTGCCGCCAAGGTTGATGACAAGGTCGCGTCGGCAACCTCCGCCGATGACGACCTCAAGGCTTTCGACTCGGATTTCGTCAAAGTCGACCAGGCCACGCTCTTCGATCTTATTTTGGTATGCGATTGCTTGCTCGGTGTTTTGATTGTTTCGCTTTGTAGTTGGGATTGACGCCGTTTGTAGACCTAAATTTAGGTTCAATTTTGGAGTTAGGGTTTTCAATATCGTTGCCGACTGTTAGGGTTCCTGTTAAATTCGCTCCGATTTTTGAGTTTTTGCCCACTGTTTATGGATCTCGTGATTAATTTAACTAGATTTTGATTGTAATGTTTGATATTTCATTTTCTGTATATTGCAGGCTGCCAACTACCTGAATATCAAGTCTCTTCTGGATCTGACTTGCCAGACCGTTGCTGATATGATCAAGGGGAAGACTCCAGAGGAGATTAGGAAGACCTTCAATATCAAGAATGACTTTACGCCTGAAGAGGAGGAGGAAGTTCGGAGGGAGAATCAGTGGGCCTTTGAGTAGCAAAATTTCCAATGAATTATCTCTAGCTGTCAATAAGCCTTTACTGGCAGCAAATAGATAAATCTCTTCAACTCTTCCTCTTACTGTGTTGCTATTATTATTATTACTCTTAGACTTTGTGTTCTGTGCAAGACCCTCTTTCGTTTACTTGTTTTGTATTGTGAACATGTGAATGACTTCACATTTCCCTATTAAATTTATGTGCTGTGTATGCCCTGTTTTTATTTTGGTCTTCTCTTGTTTATATTTGCCAGAAGATTCCTTCCCATCTTGAATGACACTGCATTATACCATTTGTGATAATACAGGGTTTTGATTATCTGGGCATTGAAGGTTTGCATTATAATTTGCTTACGAGTGTTTCAGGATCAATTTGCTATGGGTAAACTTCAAAAGACCTGGGATTTCCACTCTTTGCTTTGCCTTATAATTTGCTGGTGTATTTCAGGATCCATTTGCTAGGAATAAACCTCAGAGACCTGGAAAGTTAACTCTTTCTAAGTGAGGTTTATTTCAGAAAGAAATTCATTACTTTGATGATCGTGGTAATTTTAGAAAAATGTTTTGATATATACATTTTGGGTGCTGTTATGATGCTAGCAGACAATGGTAAAAAAGATTAGTTTAGAATATGAAATATATATGAGAAAAAAGTAGCCCCAGAAGTTTGAAATCTTACTATCATTACATTACATAGATACAACTGGTTTGATTAGCAGTTGTTATTTCATGGCATTTCCCTTTGTTGAATGAGCTGTTGTCCTTTTGGTTACCTCTATCATCAGCTATTTGTGTTCAAGCTTTGGCTACAACAAATGGGCTCCGAACTTTGTATTTGGTGTTACTCCATGTAATTGAGCCAAAAATGTCTTTCTTGGAAGCTGCAGTGAGTTTAAACTTCACTTGATAGCTTAACTTCTTAATGCCCTTTGAGAACTCCAATTTACTCGGAACCACTTCAACATGCACATTACAAGGAGCCTCCACAACTGCTGTGTACTTTGAATCTTCCTCGCCGACATTAGCTACAGTTCTGACCACAGTCTTGATGTCATTTTGTTTTAAGTTGGATATGGCTATTGAAGGGTAGTTCATGTTGGAGATTGAATCACTTGAGTTACTGGAGCACGTGAAGTTACTGGGGACAACGTGCGAAATTTTCTTAATCTTATCTGCATTGTAACCATTGTTGCATAGAAATTGTAGGTAGTCAATGATTCCAGTCTCATAGATGAGGCCTGGCTGCAGTGGACGCGATATAGTTATAACCCCGGCACCAATTTCATAAGGGGTGGCAATTGATCCCTTCATTGTTTTGATTGGGGTTTGTAAGTTGTCTGTTTGTATTGCTGCAAGCAAGTGAAATTCAGATATTTTAGCATTGAAGGATATGGCTCTATCATCTATGTTAATTTTGTCGAAAAAGCAAATTAACCTGTTGTCATGATAGCTGATCTGATAGCTGAGGGACTCCAAGTGGGATGCTGAGACTTGACTGATGCAGCCAGCCCTGAAACATGAGGGCAAGACATGGATGTGCCTGACTCTAAGACATAGACTGGCGGTTTCCTTCCAGGGAGAGTCTCTTGCTCGTCATCTGCGGTCCATGCTGCAAGAATGGCTACACCTGGTGCTGCAATGTCCGGCTACAGAACCATCAAGGTATGATGTTAGTCTTGGAAATATGTGTGTCTACTTCTTAAATATCTTAACAGTATTAAATGTGTATTGAGACAAAAAGCTCTACCTTGATAAGATTTTTGTTGCCGGGTACAGGGCCGGTTGAAGAAAAGCCGGCAATGACTGGAGCTGGCTTGTAATTTAGAGTCACAACAGTTTGTAGAATTGTTGCCACTGGATTTCTTTTGCAATGTGAAAAGGTGTAGTTAGTCAGCATTATGATGGGTTTGGTAATATATTATATTGTTGTGCTTTTCTTTGGCAGACCGGGCCAATGATTTACCTGCTCGAGTTGATATAAGATAGTATGGTAACTTTATCTTCTTCAGTCACAATTGAAATTGGATCACTTAGACAATTTTGTGGTATCTGCCTCAGGATATTGTCAACTATTATCACCCCAAGTGCGCCTTGGCTCATCAGGGAAATTCTCTTCATCAACAGATTATAGAGTGATCCTTCTTCTTGTGGATTGTTTTCACATAGGACAATTTTTCCCTTCACCTTGTCCTTGTCCAAATATCCTGGGACGCAGCGTCTGAGAAGGCATTTATTGTGAGGTACAATGTTAGCATGATACGAACATAGAGGAACACTGAGAGGTTTTTTTATCAGCACTGTACCTCGCAACATTGTCATCGCTGGAGTTGGACTTTGCTGAGCTTCCAAGTATTAGAGGATAAATGGGGGACTTACTGATCTTAGGAAAGGTTATGCCTCCTCCCTGAGATTCCATACACAACACTAACATTAGTTTAGTCTTGATTGTTGATGCGTAGACAATGTTAATCATGCTCATTGATTACCTTAATGGTTTTGTTTCCTCCTAACAGGATCTGGGCTTCAAAATCACGATCAATGGTGGTGGCAGCGACTGTTAATATCCAAGGAGCAGTGTTTACAACAGATGATGCTGAAGGACCGTCATTTCCTGCAGAACATACCACAATAATGCCCTTCTCCATTGCATGAAATGATCCGATAGCTAGAGGATCTTTGATCAAATCCTCCTTTCTTGGATCTGAACCCAAGGACAATGATAGAACATCAACACCATCACCAATTGCATCATCAAATCCTTTGAGAATATCTGACCCTGCGCAACCAAAAACTCCACAAACTTTGTATGAGGCAATTCTTGAGCTAGTTGAGCCCCCTATCGCAGTCCCTTTAGCAAGGCCATAGTATGATGCCCCAGGAACTGGACTTCCAGCTGCTGTGGAGGCCACATGTGAGCCATGGCCATCTGCGTCTCTAGGCGTGCTCTTCATATATTTGTAATATCTAGCGCCAATCAATTTCCTGCAACATTTTAATCAGTGCAAGTTACAAACATTTGAGAATCTCTGAGATAGGGAAGAATCAATCAGGTATAGAATCGATACTTGTTGCAGTTGCTGGCTGTGAAGTTTATGCCTGCCATGCATTTTCCTTTCCACCTTCGTGGGATTTCGCCTACATCTTTGTCATCGAAACTCATAGATTCAGGCCAAATTCCTGAAATATTGGTGTGATGAAGTTAACATCAGAAATGGTGGTGAGAAAATTAGCGAACAATGAAACATCTTGGAGGGTAACAAGATGGAATAGTAGCACCTGAGTCCAAGAAACCAATGATGGTGTCGGTTTCATTTGAAGAAGCGCCTGAGCCTGAAGGATAAGCTGGAATGGAATCAATCAACGAAGAAGCTTGGTGCTTCAAAAATTTCCAAGAATGAGTTGTGTGAAGCTGTAAAACTGGATCTGGAAATACAGACACAACTCCAGGCATTTGCTCTATCGACTTTGCTTCTTCATCTGATAAATGAGCTGCAAACCCAGAGAAACCACTACTGTAGGTGTGTATGACAGGGTTGTTCTTCCTGAAAGTCACAAAAATTTTATTAAACTTCTTGAACTATTGAGCTCCCATTTTCTTTTCCAAGTGGTAAAGGATATTAATGAATAGCAAAATACCTATTCGTCAAGGAGCTCAGGAGTTGGATGTAATCGTTTCTTGGGGATCCATCAGCAGAAAGTGAGGATCCCATGTACACTATGTAAGCTCCATGTTTCTCTGACTGGGAAGCATGGCATTGTTGCAGGAATAAGAGGAGACTGAGGCTGAAATAAAAGTAAAGACTTCTCATGATTTCCTCAAATGAATTTTTTGGATGATCACTCCAGCTAGGAAAGGAATGTCTATATATAGTGTGGAGCGCTTGTTATAAATGGTAAGTATGATCAAATTAGCTAATTGATTAACACTTTTTCCTCACTTCATTTATAGTTTTCTCTTTAACAGTGTATATTGCACTTGTAATTGCATAGGATCTGACTGGACATGATTATAGCTTTCTACGCTGATTTTAAGGAGTAGAGACTGGTAGTGTATGTTGAGTGTTTTACATATTGTTTGTGCTTGAAAATATGCATATAGTGAGTGCCCGCACTTTTACATGCATTCAAATGAGAAACGTTCTTGCTATAAGGCTAAGTTACTGAACTATGTGATTCATTTGTGCTTTTTCAGTCTTCTTTGGAACCCAAGCCATCAAGGGAACACAGACACAAACATCTTTTAAACCATAACAGTTGAACGATCAGAGATCGCACTCTTTTGTCCACTGGAGAATGTTCAACTTCATGGTACGTACTACATATATGCATATGCATACTCATATCTACAATCTTTTTGTTTACTATGTGTATGAAGGGGGCTCAAATAATTAATGTATGGGTCCAAATTAGTTTAGTGTCGCTCTTCACGCATAAGTATGCTTCTTCAAATAAATGTACACTGGAATAAATATGCTACATCAAATAGATGGCATCTTTAGTGATATGTTGGATGATCAAAATGTTACGTGGCATGAGATGAGTTACTAGAAATGTGCACCTCTATTCAATTTATTAATATTGCTGCAAAATACTTGAACTGAATGAAATCACCTCACTGCTGCTTGCGACTTTTGTTGGTAAAGAGAACACTGGTTCAGATACGTGAGACATATATACGAAGTGGCTGTTTGTTATTAAAATGTGATATGGACAAAAGTCGGTTGCCCTACTACTTAGTGGGATTTGAATTTATTGGAGATCAGCTCACCTGATAGGAAACTGAAGGGGGACCATATTATTAGTTTTGAATTTCATTAATTCAGGTGTATTCACTGTAGATTGCCAAGAATTTCCAATCCTATTTCACTTCATTGTTATCAAAATGTAGGCAATGGTTCGAACATTATTGTTGGAGGTTTTGATAATTGATTCTCTTGCACTATAATGGAAACATTGAGATGTGAACTCTTGAACCGCTGAGGCTAATTGTAGTGTGATATCCATTTTCTTAGGATGTTACTGTGATTCTTACTGTCCTGGTATAGTGTTTCTATTGTACTGTCAGTAGCTTTTCCCATTATCCATATAAGGGACCTATGGAAGCAGGAAGAATTTCAATGCCTTAAGTAATTTTCAAAAGAGTAGAAAGAAAACGACTTACAACAATAATTGAAGAATTTCCTTTTCTGCATGCTAGACTGTCCTATCTTGATTTCATTTTGGCAAAACCTGAGTAGGAAATTTCTTAAAATGCCAGCCTACAATATAGAAACAATACTAGAATTAGACATGGCCATGGTTCCCTCCTTTCTATACATTTGTGGAATCAAAACTGAATAAAATCTTTAATTACTATAATACAAAAAATAAGAAAAATAAAGTATTAAATTCATTTAACTCAAAAATAAATAATTAATAAGTACTAAAGTTGCGTTTAGATATATTTTGGAGTTTTAGAAAGTTTTGGGAATATTAAAAAGTTCAGCAAAAAATTGGCATTTTTAATGTGATGTATTGTATAGAAAATAAGCTTTTGAATTTGATATAATGTTTTAAATAAAAAATAAGTATTTTATGTAATTTATTTTTTTTAAATAGATATTGATGATGAATATTACCAGATTTGATTTGAAAACATAAACAAAGCCTAAATTATTTGTAACAAATGTATCGAATTAGCACAAATATATTACACATATGTAATGCAAATAATATGTAGAATAGTTAAAATATGTGTGTATATATTATATTGTAGTTGTAAATATCAACTGTTCTTTATTGAATTGTGTTTCTGGCTCTGTTTCCATTTGTTATCTTTGAACTTGAATCAGGAGCAGTGCTTCTATTGTTTACTATCTTCATTTGTTTTATGGTAGTTTGGTTTAAATTTCTTCCCAAGTCAAACAGAACGATGACCATGGCTAATTGCGTTATGTATGCATGAGGGATGGAGTTGAATATGTATTACAAAATAGCAGGCTTTTGATATATAAATTGGTTTAATCATGCAAATGGAATCAAATATTATTATCTGATCACCCAAAATAAATTCAGTGACGGTGCCTTTCATATGACGCTTCAAAGCTATGTTTTATTTTCTTTTAGCCATAGAAGTTTAATTTTCTAATAGCATGTGATTCACCAAAATATAATTTGCAAAGTTTTGAGCTTGCAAATAGTGCTTGTTCTCTGTTAAATAATATGAATGATAATTTCTTTCAACATATACTCCCTCCATCCACACAATAAGTATACATTTACTTTTGGCGCGGAGTTTAAGAAATAATAGTATTTTAATTATAGTGGGTAGGTAAAAGTAGTGTAATGACATTTTTGCCCTTACTTTTTGGTATAAAAGTAATGATGTGATGTAAAGTAAGGGTATTGTGAAAAAAATGGGGTATTTAATGAAATGATTACTTTGTAATTGGACGTTCCAAAATTGAAATATATATACTTTGTAGCTGGACGGAGGAAGTATTTTACTTTATTGTTTTCATATATATGTATACTATTATATCGTGACCTTTTACTGTTATAGGGTGATGGGCTAACTTTAGAGTGGATGTAGGATCGTAGGAGAAGAACAAAGTTAAACACATCATTATGATTTAATAACTATTAGGTCATCAATTACAGTTACGCAAGTGTTTGTTGAAATAGAAATACTAGATTTTGAATGTGCTTTGACATTTGTTGATAGTTAAACTTAAGCAAAGCTACAATCTTCATCATTACTTTTCCATTTTATATATGGATGCTGTTAAGAATTAAGATGCTAGAAACAAAGGCAGCACTAGTTATTAGAAAGGAAAGACTGAACAGGAAAGAAGTGCACTGAAAATTTGAGATTTGGCAATGTCTAACTCAAGTCATTCACCAGATATGACAAGCAATTGTTATTTCAAGGCATTTATGTTAATGAATGCTATATCGGCAATCCAGTACTTCTACCATCAGCTTTTCTAGTTTAACCATTGACTACAACAAATGGACTCCGAACTTTGTATTTGGTTGCAGACCATGTAATTGAACCAAACACGGACTCCTGAGGTGCAGCAGTAAGTTTAAAAGTCACTTGAAATGTTAGCTTATTAAATCCGTTTGAGAATTGTAGTTTACTAGGCACCACTTCTACGTGCACATTAGCTGGAGCCTCCACGATAGCAGTGTAGGTTGAATCTTGCTCACCAACATTAGTCACTGTTCTGTTAACCGTCTTGATCTCATTTTGCTTTAGGTTGGAAATGGCTATGGAAGGGTAGTTCATGTTGGAGATTGAATCAGAATTTGGGTTAGTGGGGCATGCAAAGTTACTTGGAATTGTTTGTGAAATGTTCTTTATCTTAGCTGTGTCGTAACCACTGTTGCATAGAAATTGAAGGTAGTCAATGACTTCAGTCTCATACACGAGCCCCGGCTCCAATGGGCCCGATACACTTATTTCGCCTGCACCTACATCATAAGGGGTTGCTATTGATCCCATGTTTGTTGTGATTGGGGCATGTAAGTTGTTTGTCTGGATTGCTGCAAGTGAGTAAAACGCAGACGATGTTAATGAGTTTTTTATTATCTTATGTTATTTTTATTTTTAACCTACCTGTTGTCATGATGGCTGATCTGATAGCCGAGGGACTCCAAGTAGGATGCTGAGACTTGATTGCTGCAGCTAGGCCTGAAACATGTGGGCAAGACATGGAAGTGCCTGACAGAATGTTATATTGTGGTGGTTCCTTCCCAGGGAGAGCCTCATCATTGTCGTTTGCGGGCCATGCTGCAAGTATGGCCACACCTGGTGCTGTAATATCAGGCTACAGAAACAAATGAGGTATGGTGTTTAGTCTTTTTCTGTTAAAGATTCTCGGCAGTCACTTGGCCTCTTGTTTATAAGAAAGAATTTAAGACTAAAATCCTCACCTTAATAAGGTTTTTGATTCCGGGAACAGGACCTCTCGAAGAAAAATAGCCAACAACAGGAGCTGGCTTGTAATTTAATACCACTGCTGTTGGTAGAATTGTGGCCAGTGGATCACTTTTGCAATGTGAAAAAGTATGCAGTTAGTCATTACTGTTTTATATACATTAGATTCAGTAATACACTTCGGAGTTTTTACTTTAAATTAGATAATCGATTTGAGTAGCGCTATGTCTTACTTAGTGAGGCTAATGATTTACCTGCTTGAGTTAATATAAGAAAGTATGCTATCTCTGTCATCTTCAGTCACTATGGCGATTGGAGAAGTTCCATATTTTGATGGCACCTGCCTCAAGTTGTTGTCAATCACTATAATCCCAACTGCGCCTTGGTTCTTCAGAGTGCTGTATTTCTCTTTTTCCGAATATCCATCATTGTTTTCACACAGGACAATTTTTCCTTTTACCTTACTATCATCCAATGAACCTGGGACACAGTTTCTGAAAAAGTATTTTTGTCATTACAGCATCACGAATCCTATGTTACCTTGATATAACCATTACTAAGACAGTTTAGGCATTTTCTCAGTATACTGTACCGTGCATCGGATGCATCAATGTCACTGGTGTTGGACTTCGCTGAGCTTCCTGCTATAAGGGGGTAATTGGGAGATTTGTTTAGCCCTGAAAAATTTATGCCTCCTCCCTGGTAGCTCATAATATAATAAAAAGGTTAGTCTGGTTTAGATTCTTGAATCTTGATGCATAGATAATGTTGTCAAATTCATTAATTACCTTAATCGTCTTGTTTCCTCCTAACATGATTTTGGCCTCAAGATCACGATCAATTGTGGTGGCAGCAACTGTTAGGATCCAAGGAGCAACATTTACAACAGATGATGGAAAAGGGCCACTGTTCCCTGCAGAGCATGCCACAATAATGCCCTTCTCCATTGCATGAAAAGCTCCAATAGCTATTGGATCAGTGATGAAATTTGGCTCTCCTGGACTTGAACCCAAGGAAAGTGACAGAACATTAACGCCATCCCCAATTGCATCATCGAATGCTTTAAGAATAGCTGACCCGAGGCAACCTGTGTCCTGACAAACACGATACATGGCAATTCGGGACCCAGTTGAGCCCCCTACCGCAGTCCCTTCAGCTAGGCCATAAAATGATGCCTTAGAAACAAGCCCCCCTGCTGCAGTTGAAGCAACATGTGTGCCATGGCCAATTTCGTCTCTGGGAGTGCCCATTACAAATGGCCCTGAATCCGGATCGTCGTAGTATCTTGCTCCGATTATTTTCCTACAGGAATTTGATTGGCACAAGTTATAAACAGTTCATGATTACTGAAGCCAAGGAAGAAAGGGTCAGGTATATGATCTATAATTGTTAATTGTATAGTATACTTGTTGCAGTTTTTGGTAGTGAAATTTTTTCCTTCCATGCATTTTCCTTTCCAATTTGTTGGGATTTCGCTTACATCCTTGTCATCGAAACTCTCAGATTCAGGCCAGATTCCTGAAACAGAGGTCTTCAAAGTTACAATCTTGAGCAATGCCAGTGAAGGACTAATGAAAAGTTAACATCCATGTGGTGTAACAGGATGGAATACTTTCACCTGTGTCTAACACGCCGATGATGGTGTCTGCTCCACCTGAAGAAGAGCCTGAAGGATAAGCTGGAGAGGAATCAATCTTCACAGAGGTTTGATACTTCAAGAACTCCCAGGAATGAGTAGTGTGAAGTTTTAAAACTGGATCAGGAAACACAGACACTACTCCAGGTCTTTGAGCTATCGATTTTGCTTCTTCCCCTGATAGGCGTACTGCAAACCCGGAGAAGCCATTGCTGTAGCTATGTTTGACAGGGTTCTTCTTCCTAAAGGTCAGAATATTTTTATTATGTTTTTACTTCTTAGAACTTTATCAGCTCCCAAGAGCCCACAAATTTAAAGAATTGATTAAGTATTTGATAATGAACAGTATAGGACCTTTTCATCAATGAGAGGAGTTGGGAGTGATCATGCCTTGGGGATCCATCGGCTGAATGTGAGGCTCCCATGTACACTATGTAAACTCCATCTTTCTCTGACTGAGCTACATAGGCTTCTTGCAGAACTAAGACAAGGAAGAGACTGAGGCTGAAATACAGGTAAAGACTTCTCATTATACCCTCAAAATGAAATGTGCTGAATGTTCATTTCAACAGGCTTGATGGAAGATCCATATATAGTGTTTGCAGGCTGGTCAGAAAAGGTAAATTTGATCTAATCTTATGCTAATGGATTTGCACATGCTCCCACTTTGTTCATAATTATTAATTTTTTTCTGGCCGTGATCAATTTGGTGCTTCCTTAACCAGGCAAAGTGCGATTGATGATCGACACAGAAATGGTTAGGACTAATGGGAGTGATGTTGGTGGGAAGAGTGGAGATTGGTATGGCATTTTTTTAAGTGTATTTCATCGTCCTCTTTGTGCAGAGAAAATATGATTAAATACAAAGTGCAGAAGATTTTAAACAACAATACTGAACTTGGTGTATTGAGATAGGAAGCATTCTGTTACTAACGGCTACATTTACTATGCTTTTCTCTATTTCAATCTTCTGTTTTTTCAGTGTGTTCTTTGGAGAGGTGGAGGGGACACACAGACAAACCCTTTTGACCATAACAGTAGCACGATATAAAGAGGCGCGCCTTTTAGTCAAGAGTTCTTGAAAAGATGATCACACTCTTTTCTGGCGCCTAAACCTCCCGGTATGTCCTGTGCTTAAACGTAATTATTTACGCCGATTGTGTGTGCCTACATGCTTATTTCTTAGGTTGCTATTTGTGCATAAGCCAATATAAACATCCTCCTAGTTCCTATTGTGTTACTCCAAAGTGGTAAATTTTACAACCACACTTTAAAGAAATGAACACTCAGGTAGACATATAATGCTATAGTGCTGATACAATGGAATTTCAGCCATCAGTTTAGTTAGTGGCATTTGGAAGGCCATTTCAGGAATTTGGTCATATCCTGATTTAATATTTTGCACAAAGATAGAAGTACTTAGTGAATCAGTGACATGAGGAATAAGAAATGCAAATGCTATAGTGCTGATACAATGGCATTTCAGCCATCAGTTTAGTTAGTGGCATTTGGAAGGCCATTTCAGGATTTTGGTAACATCTTGATTTAATATTTTGCACAAGATAGAAGTAGCTAGTGAATCAGTGACATAATATTTTGCAATATATCAAACATGTGATAGTGCTCCATTCATCCTGAGTGCTCCTTGTCTCATAGTACAACCAGTTCAGATAATAATGATCCTTCAATTTTTATTGAACCTGAATACATACACCCACAAGACATGCTTGATTTGAAGTGGCCCACTTTTTAAAATAATTCACCTCTGATAGGACAAAAGTTGGCCTGCTCCTACCACTTAGTGGGATTTTGTATTGGGCTGTGAGATAAGCCAATAGGAAAGTGAAGAGTGTTATAATACACTTACCAGTTGGATTTTTATTCATTCAGATTAGCATTCACTTTAGACTGCCAATAACTTGCTTCCCATTAGTGTACTTTTTAGTTTGGAAATGGTTTGGTACATTAATTGTGGGGGAAAATCACTATTGATGTTGTTGAGCCGGTTGAGCAATGAATGCTTTTACGGTTTGTTTATTTAATGTTTGGATTTGAATTTGGAGTTTGGGAATATAAATAATGTGACTGAAATAGTATTTCTTATCGTTTTATAAATAGATATGTGATGTTTTAGACAAATAATTTTTTGTGCAATATAATGCAAATGGGATGTTTGATTTGATGATCTTAACAAGGTAAAAATGATGAATAGCCTAAAAATTATAGGTCATCTCCAACCTATCTACTCCAAATATAAAGCTGCTACAATAATTTTACTTCAAGCATAACGGTATTTTTCACTATTATTCTTCAAATATTCAATGTTCCATATTGTTTGAAACAACTTTTTATTATTATAATTTAAAATATTTTTTAAAAAAAAATTAGAAAAAATAAAAAATAAATTTAAAAGTTAAAAAAAAAAAAAAAAAACCGGCATTATTTGGCAGTTGGCTGTTGCACTGTAACAATGCAGAAAAAGTGGTGGAGGATTTGTAGTTGGTTGGAGCTATTCAAGATGGTCTAAATATCTATTTGTTTTGTGCATAAATATATTTATGTGGCCTTTGTGAATGCACAATGGAGTTGGAAGCCCAACCCATTATTTGTTTTAGTGAAAAGGAAGTAAAAAATACTATTTTCATTTCATAATAGTTGACGTATTTAATTAGTGATACATCATTCAAAGAAATATAGTCCAAGTAAAATTTAATTATAGTAAATTATGATATTATTTATTATTTTTAAACAATTCAGTAAAAAAAATTATTTTTATATAATTAACACTAATTATTTATACTCAAATTAAATTAATATCTTAAACTAAAACATTAAACAAACACACCTTGTATATTTTTAAAAATATAGCATTGTTGTCCAGTAAGGGATGACCTGGTGATGTAGAGGTTAAACTTGTGACCGTAAGATTATAAGTTCAAATCTCCGACGTCTTAGATCGTTTGCCACACGTGGTTCGGCTATAGTGATTTTTCCGTCTAACACAAAGAATAATGGTCTGATGGTATGGATCTGTCTGCTACATATGTGAGGTTGGTCCACATAACACTTATCTCTTTGAAATGCAACCATAATCATTAGTATTATTTATCTTTGATATATACAAATCCATTACTCTTCCGACAAACCACATGCAATCTTTCCCTGTCCTTTTTTTTTTTTTTCTTCTCATAATTAATAAAATTAGATAAATCTTTTATAGTGTTAACTTCTTGAAAGATTGTTTATATACATATTTTTTAATTTTTTTTTAATAATATTTCTTATTTTATATTTTCTCTTATAGAAACTTGAGGACTGAAGAAAGAAGAGTTAAATTCTTATGTATTCTTCGGATATAATTTTTTGAAACGTTTTTAAAAAATATATAAATATAAAATACTATAATATTTTATAAAATTGAATAAATAAATGATATAATAATTTTAAAAAAATGGTACAGAATGTTATTTGAGTGTAGTTTAAAGATAGCTGTGATTTGAGAAGTCAAAGGCAGAAGAGGCCATATTAGAGAAAATGGGAAAAGTGCTATAATTGGGCAAACACCCAACATTGCTATCAATGCACCTCTACTAATAATGATTGGCTTTTATTATTATTATTATTATTATTATTATCATGTGTTTGGTAAAAACAAATGAAGATTTCATTTTTATTGTTTGATTAAATAAAAAAATTTAAAGTTGAAATATAAATTATTTAATATTTTTAAATTTTATTTTACTCTATAAAAAGAGATATATAAAATTAAAATAGTAGTGTCTTTTTATTTGTTTTACGGGTATTATTTTTATGATTTAGATTATGCTTATTTGTTATTCTTTTTTTTTTTTACTATTATTTAACTTTTACAAATTTTATATTATTTCAATATTATAAAATATACCATATAATTATGACATGGAAATAACGTCGAGTAAATTTTCAATTGAATCTAATACCCTGTAAATTAGGCCGAGTGATCATTATATTCTTTATATATATATAGACACAGATCATTATATTCTTTATATATATATACATATCATTGTATTCTTCTTTTATATTTTTTATAATGTACGAACGTAGTCGCTACCTGAAAATGTCGTATTGGATAAACTCGATCGAATCTAATACTTTGCAAACTAAGCTCGACAGATCCGTCACATCAGGACAGAACATTGTATTCTTTCTTCAATCAGATCATTGTAGGTTTTTATTTTTCAACAGAATATTTTATTTTTCCAAACAAAATTCTAGTAAATTCTTTTTCCCTATTATTATTTTCATCTGGGTACCACCAATCACACTCTTGAGTTTGCAAAGTTAGCAAGAAAGAGTGCAGGCAGGCAGGCTCAAATCAGATAAGACAGAGGTAGATAGATAGATAGAAGAATTATGTATATCACTGTCACTGATCAGTGACAGTGCTCAAAAAAGGGTTTCCTTCAAAAAAATATGCCCAAAACTCAGACCAAACCTGAGAGAGAGAGAGAGAGAGAGAGAGAGAGAGAGAGAACTACCCCACCCCCACCCCCACCCCCACCCCCACCCCCAAGATCCATCTTACTAGTAGGAGTGGAGTATAATTTACCTTAATTAAGAGAGTAGGATGGGATGGGGTGGGGTGGGGGTGTGAAAAAAAAGTGAACTTGCTACTCACTGTCACTGACCAGTGATATTATATGCATACATATATATAATGCCTCCCTTGTAGGTCTTTACCTAAGCTGGTTTCTTCTTCAAAATGAAAATCAAAACGGCGCCGTTACAGCTCTCTGGAGCAGCTTTGGCCTAATATCCTCTTTGTGATGCTGGGGCTGCTGCTGCTGTTGTTGTTGTTCTTGCTCTTTCTGTAGTTTCTTCAGCTCTGCATTCTCTTCCTTCAGAAGCAAAATCTTCGCCTCCAGATGATACGTGTAAGCCTTGTTTGTTTGTGTTTTTGTTCGATAAAAGCGAACCAGTTTCAAGGAGAGAAATCTCACAAAGGAATTTGGAAATTAGGAATTAGAAATCAATTAATTAATTGATTGATTTTACCTGTCGTCGAGCTCTGGATCGGACAGCAGACTCTCTGTTCTTTATCAGCCTTTTCCTTTTCCGTTCGACGGCTTGGTCGGAATATTTAGGGCAATTGTACGTCCCAATATTTAGGGCAAAAGGAGGAGTAGGGCTTGAGGATGAGGTCTCGTTAGTAGTAGCAGTATTACTGTTATTCGGAAGGCCTAGGTGGAGGTGATCCTGATACGGCGGAGGAGCGGCGGCGGCGGCGGAGGAGGCAGAGGGGAGAGTGGTGAGGTCTTTCCAAATATCTTCCATGAGTTGGATATGATCTTTTTGGAAAGATGCCTGTCTTAGTCTTGTTACTCTTATTATAGTGTCATTTGTTTTTGCAATTTTATACCTTAGTTAATTATCTACTTATTTAAATTCAATAATTAATTAATTAATTCAAGCTTTACCTTTTTAAAATATATATATATATATATTTGGACTCCTTTCGTCCATAAAAATAAAAATAATTTTATTTTTATTTGTTACAAAATAATAGTTTAATTTAGTTTGATTTTGCAAATTTTTGTTCGGAGTATGAATTTTATAAATCGAAAATCGATCAAAATTTATTAAAATCGATATTTACTCACCCCTAATAAAATGTATTATTTAGAGGAGTATGCTACAGAATTGTTTATTAAAATAATCTTGTAAATAATGTAAGTCGGATAAGCTACACTAGCATAATTCATCAAAAATAATATTTTTATTAAAAATTATATAAAGTAAATTGTACCCGTCTTGTACATTTGTTCAAAATTTGTAGGTATGAAAATAAAATATATATATATATATTTTTTATAAATATATGATTGAATGTTTTATATAATTAATAATATAATTTTCAATTAAAATAGAATGCCCACAAAGTATGTGAGGTGTATCGGCTACATGTGTAATTTATATGTGTGTTCGTTTTATCCTACTATTCATTCAAAAAATTTTCCCCAAAAATATCAAATCAAACGCTTATTTTTTATTTTTTATTTTTTATATTATACTAAAAATCAATTTTACATTCAAAACATCACATCAACACCTATTTATATCACATTATACAACTATTTAAATTCAAAATTTTTACTATTCAAATCTCAATTCAAAATTCAAACCCCCAAACAAACACACCCGGTCTTGAAGGCGGTTTTATTATTCTTAATTTTTTTTTAAAAAAAAAACTATTAAATTAAATATTTCCTTTGTTCCACGTTGTATGTTTGGGTTCACCGCATACACAAAAATTTAGGATAAATATAATAAATAAATAATTAAGAATGTATTAGTGAAAATAATTATTATATAATATAAATAATTATAAATTAAAATTAAGATAACTAATTATTTTAATTAAAATTTTAAAAAAAATAAATTAAAAAGTTTAAAATGAGATTAAAGTTTGTAATCATTTTTCGAAAAAAAAAAAGTGACGTAAAATGTGAAAGGGATAGAAACGACAATATGGATATGGTATCTGGAATTGAGGAAGTACTTAATTTTTTATTTTTATATTATATTAAAATTTATTTTTATACTTAAAATATCAAATTAATATATATTCAATCAAATAATTATTTTAATTTAAATATTTATTATTAAAAATTAAAATATTAAAATAAACACCTATATTTTTTATAAAAATATCATATAAATATAGTTTTAATAAATATATTAAAATAATAAAATAAACACATTTTTACATAGCATTAATTTTGAAGTAGATTCAAAACCAAACAAATCTATATAATAATAATGATAACAATATTTAGGTAATTAAAAAGTATGTTATCAAAAATAATTATTATATAATAAAATTAATTATAAATTAAAATTAAAATTAAAATTAAATAATATATATAATTAAATTATAAAAATTTATAAAATTTAAAATATAAAATATAACTGATATAATATAATTGTATTTTTTAAAAATAAATAAAAATACGAAACGAACAAAAATAAAAAAATAGATATATAAATTACGAAATTGAGAGAGCAAAATGAAAGACAAACTTGCACAAGTTCCCACAATCAACTCACATTTACCAAATACATGTCTTGTGTGTTTTTTTATTATTATTTTTTTAGTGCATACATACGTTCATTTTATAATTTTAAATTTATATATTTTTATATTGGATAAAAAATAATTATTTTATTAATTTAAATAATACTTCCTCCGTTTCACATAATTTGGCTCTATTTTTTATTTTCATTCGTCCCATATAACTTGTCATTTTTATTTTTGGAAATATAATTATACAATTTAATCGTATTTTAAATTTTAAATTTTATAATTTTCTTAATTTTAATTAAATTATTTACTTATTTTAATCTTAATCTATAATTATTTTTACTAATATACTTCTTAATTACTTACTAATTATAGTTTACCAAAATTCTCGTGTCTACAATAATACACCTATATTACATAGGACGGAGGGAGTAGTAATTTATATTGAATTATGAAATGCTCATGAATATATATAATATGTATTGTTTTTGTCCGACTTTAAAGATCATATTTACTTTTGAATTGAATTTTTAATATTCAGAAAAATATAAAAACAAATATTTCTACGTGTCTCGTAAAACTAACATAAAAGATAAATATAAATATTTGAGGCAGACGGAGACAATATTATATATTGTGGTTATAATGTAGTACATTTTGTAATTTTCACGAAAGTTGTGTTATTCATTAAAAACTTGTGTCATTCCAAAAAAATATAGTAAACAAGTTTATTTTACTATAATTTTATTATTCTTATTTTAACAAATAATAATTAGTTTTTCATTGTCTTTCCTATTCATCTCACTATCTTTTTATTAAATTTTTTCATACCCCACTTTATATTTTATCTACCTATTTTTATATTAAAAAATATTATTATTTTTTAATTTTTATATGTAACTAAATCTATATAATTTTGATGAATAAGAAAACTTTTTATAAAATATCCGTATAAAGAAAGTTTAATAATTAAATAGAGGCGATCATTTAAAGCAATCAAATAAAGTAAGTATAATTATATTTAATAATCATGCAATATAAAAATGGTGATATTAGGTGAAACTGCTTTTAAGATATTTTACTATAAATGCAATTATTCCAAATTCAGCATATCTAAAAAGAGGACTGAGATCTTTCTAGTTTATTTGCCAAAATTAGTTTGCATATAAAAAATAAAAAAAAAAAAAGAAGTAAAATTGCTTATTATAACTCCACTGTGATTTCAAAATTCAGCCTAATATCTCCTTATACTTTAAAAATTGTATGATACCCCCTTATACTTTAAAAAACGTTGCATGAAACTCCATCACCATGAAACTTTCTTCGTGTGATAAGAAGATGATTTCCTATCTATATGTTTTGTATGGCATGGGGTTTTATGCAATATTTTTGAAAGTATAACTGAGCTTCATGCAATTTTTTAAAGTAAAATGAGAATTTATAATGAGTTTCGAAACCACAAAGTAGTTTCATGCAACATTTTTTAAAGTATAAGGGGACATCATGCAATTTTTAAAGTAGATGGGGAATTTACGCTGAGTTTCGAAACTACAAGGGAGTTATGGGCAATTTTGCCTAAAAAAATATTTAATTTAGGGTGTATTTGTTCAAGGGATTGGATCTTAAATCCATTATTCATTCCATTTTTTTAAAAAAAAATATCAAATTAAACACTTATTTTTCATTTTTTATATTATACTAAAAATCAATTTTACATTCAAAATATCAAATCAAGACCTATTTATATCACATTATACAACTATTCAAATTCAAATTTTTTACTATTTAAATCTCAACTCAAAATTCAAACTCCCAAATAAACACATAGTTTTTTGTTACAGTAAAGTGTACAATATAAGTACAAAGAATGAAAAAATAGACATTATATAAATTATAGTACTCCACTCGTCCCATTGAAATGTTGTCATTTTTTATTTTCGTCTGTCCCAAAACAAGGTTACCATTTTCTAATTTAGTAATTGTACCACCTACCTAACATAATAAATATCCTTCCAGCTTACACTATATTACACAAATGTCATTACTTTTATATTACACAATACTAATAGAGTTATTTTCGTCTTTTTCACTACAACCTATTATAATACTAATATTTAAAAATCTACGTGCAAAAAGTAAACGGCAAACTTGCACCGGGACAGAGGGAATATTAATTTATTATTTCCTTATGTTTTACTTTATTTGTCTATAATTATTCATTTATAATTATCGATATTAGTATATAATAATTATTTTTATTGATACAATTATTAATTATTTATTAATTATAATTTACCTAAATTTTCATATATACAGTAACTAAATAAAAAAATAAATGAGTAATTGACAACATCCGGTATAGAAACAAACAATTCCTCTCTTTAAAATTATGCGTTCCTTTTGTTCATTTGCTTCGAATCGATTACGGGTTCTTAGGTGTCCTAAGAATTCTTCCATTTTGTGGTGTTGCTTGTCGGGTTTGAAGTTAGTGTGCCTATCGGAATACGCCCTTAGGGCTGTTTGTTTCAAGGATTTGATATAATTTCATGGGATTTGGATTTTAAAATTCTATGAAATCCATGTTTGGTTAAAAAATAAAAATAATGAAATTTAAAATGATGAGATTTAAAAATATGGTTCAAAATCTTACAAATGAAAGATTTATTAGTAATGGGCCATGTTACTTTTAAATCCCATTCCATGGGATTTTAAATTTTACTTTTATATCCTTGTATAAAAAAATATATTATATATTATAAATATATTTATATAAAATTAAATTAAATAATTTTAAATTTAATTTTTATTTGAATTATATATTAAATTAAATTAATATTATTTTTATGGTACAATATTTTTTAAATAAATTAATAAATTCATTGTTTTAAATTATTATTTATTATAAATTTTATTTAAATTATAAAATTATCATGATGACAATTTTAATTTAAAATTACACATGTACCGATCCGATATATATATTATTTATGTATTTTATGAAAAAAAATATTATAATAAAATAATAAAAAAATTAAACTTAAAAAAAATATTTTTAATATAATTATATTGTTATAAATTATTTTTTCATATGTATAGTCGATATATTATTAATATAATAAATCGAGTCTAGGTGTAGGTATGGTCCGTTTAGATCCTAGACCCGATTCGGACCCGATTAGAATACCCATAATATGACCCGGATCAAGATCTAATACTCAAATAATTGGACTCAACTTCAAATAAATAGGTCGGGTTCGAGTC